CAAAATGTCATTATCCGTTATTCCTGCTGATTTAACAGCCATCACTACTCTATCAAATGCCAATCTACTATTCGATCGGCTAGGTGGAATATATACACAAAAAACAAATACTGATTTTTTATTACTAAGGACAAGTTTTGCACCAACAATTTCAATATCACAAAATGTATGTTGAGTTAACTCCGAGTATGAATGGGGAAGTGATGAAATCTTTGAATTAAGTCATGAGTTGAAATTAGTTAATATCATTGACCATTTCAATTTGAAATTGCTTAAAAATGAAATTAATTATTCATTTATGAATATAAAAACCTTTATCAACATGTAATTATTACAGAAAAATCTGAAAGATCATTAAAAAGTCGTTTTTCGATAGTGCAAACATTTTGTTAATGAAAATCGGACATGCATTAAAATGGTTGCAACAATCGCGACTCACCTGTATTTAATGGAATCTCAGAAGCAACAACAAGTTTTTGCATTAACAATTTTAAGCTTGAAAATCAAACACGAAATAATCAAAGCGGAAACAACAAACTTGTTGATGCTTTTGAAATGTACGTATTATTGCACTTTCGAAAGTTGTTGCGGTTTTGGTTTAAATCTCTGTATCTCACCGGCATTCCGCTCAAGTCGTTTTCAGCTTTCCGACATTACGCCTTTCGTTATACTAAATCTGATCATGATTCCTGTGTTCATTCACTAAACATCAGATAACAACTGGAGTTACATCATGCATTGGCGGATTGATGGAATTTTGCAAAATTGAGCCATTAGACTTTTCTGTGTAATTGATTGCCTGCGGCTGTAACTAAGGTCGATGTAAGCATTATGATTCAAAGCAGTAGCCATTTCAGATGACATTATCATCGCAAGACCTTCATTTTAATAAGCACTTGATAAACAAATACGCCCCTAAGACCATCCACAAAAAATATGCAAATGGACTCGAAGCGTAATGAGGCAATCTTTGAGTTGGTTGATGCATCCCAAAATGTGAATTGCTATAAAATTGCGATCTCGTGTTCAAGTTCGGTTTAAAAATAAGCATGTTTTCACCGATTCAATAATAAAGAAGAAATGATTAATGCAATGGTGCTCTTAATATTCGAAGAAACACATTATTTTCGCCGTAAAAAGATGTAAATTGTTCATACGATCGATATGTTGATATTTTGGGTCGAACTGCGACCGTGTCGTAATTACTTCTCGTATTGGTGGACAGTGGTTAACCCATTCAAACTGACCGCGCTCATTGCTTACGGATACGCATCTAACCATGTTGAAATGTAAAGATGAAGACGGCGACGACGACGGAGGAGAAATAGTGAAAAATGAAAATAAATTGTAAACTATTTATTAAATTTTGGTAGCGAGAGAACATGTAACAGTGTTCCATTGTTTTCGAGAGCCAGTTTCAGTAAAAAATCAATTATGACTTTTGTTTCTCAACTGAGATTGAAACAATGAATGGGCAAACGCTTGCTTTGCTATCCGACACTGGCCATTTTCGCTGCATCAAAGAGTGTTAACCGTATTACGTTACTTTTACTTTTACTTGCAAGTCATGCAGCTGGTAAGAATATCACATTCTCATTTTCAATTCCATTTTCGTATAGGTTTTTGCATTTCGCTTTTCATTTTTTTGTATCATTCCAAGAGTAACATTCTCTCTGCATGGGATCGATCATTTCTTATTAGGTTAAGGTTATTTCGTTATAAATTTTCTCTGTATTTCTTTCACTTTATCACTGACTGTCCGATGATCTGATGTAATGGACATTCCGAAGAAAAAGGAGAGAGATATGATTGGAAGAAAAGGGAATGGCCAGCAACTTCTTAAACATACAAAATTATTAACGCATCAACGTCAGCGACAATTTCGATCAATTAATTATTTAGTTGGTTGAAACAACCTCAAACTGTGCACCAAAATGGCGCGGAAAGGCAGACAACTGCATTGACATTTTGATCAAACCGATTAAGATGCTACTTCCTGTAATGCAATTGACTGTGTCAACGCAAATGTAATAACGATCGACGCATGTCTACGTCTTTTTTTCTCTCTAATCTATAGTCATTCTATTTCTCCCTCCTGCTCTCTCCCGCTCTCTCTCTTGGCCTTTCGTTCTCCACCAGTGTTTTAACACTACAATGTTATTTTTATTTCGCTAAATACGCTAATTTAATTACAACCAACTGATAATGTCGACAACATACATTTTCATGTGACAACGGAAAAAAGTGTAAAGTTTTAAACGATTTTCATCCTCATGATAACCACAATAAAGTGATAACGCGTTACTGCGTTTCCCATCCTCTTTCATATGTTTTACATCGTCGCTCGTTCATCTCACACACCGCGTGCAACCGTTCGCGCCGGTTTTTCTTTTTCTTTTTAATCTACGTTAGTTAGGCATTTAGCATTAAATATGTTACCGGTGTGTGATTGAGTCTAATTGTTCATTTGCAAAATGGATACATACAAATAATTATGCATTTAATCAATATCAACGATAACAGGGACAGGTAGCTCCACAACTATTTTCTATATTAAATGTGTCTGCAGTTGTTTCGTGTCAACAATGCGCAACAAGTAAACAACACACTGTCTTCGTTTCATTGTATGGGCTAAGAAACGCGCAGCAGATAAAGATAAACACAGTCCCGCTAGGCTAAGCAAAGTGCACGAGTATGAACGTATGTAATTATGCTAAATCCACTAGTATTGTCACTTTCACTATCAATCCACGGCGCACACCAATCAACGTCATCCGCGATTATTTAATTTTTATCGAATTACACTCACAGGTTTGGTACAAATGTTTTGGATTACCGGGCAAAGGATGTGGTTTTTCTTTTTACAAACTTATCAATCAACCGGCGCAACTGACTATAATGTATAAACAAAATCCCAAAGCAAACAAACAATTTGAAGAAGAAAAAAAACGGCAAAGCATATAAATAAGGCTATAATTTCACACAGACAGCTATAATTTAAGTAATAAATGTTACTGGAAGCGTTTTTGGTTTACTTGCAATTCTGACTCAATGGTAATCGATTGGCCATTGGCCAGTGGCCGGTGAACCAGCACATCGGAATGTGTTTAAATGATCGAAGAAAAAGCATTGAAACTAAATGTCATGGCACATTGAGAATATGATGCTAATTATCGAGCTCTTGTGCCGTAGCAGTTGTCACATCTTCCACCAGAATCGAAACCCATTTTCTTCAATGGATTCGGATTTTTATGCTGTTATAAAAATGCTATGAATGTTTTTCCTCTCTTGTAATGTGTTGAATTGAATGAAAAAAAAAATGTCGGCCTCTAAGTAATTCAACAACAGCAGTACCAGCAGCAACGACAGCAATCGCAAGTGAAGACGATCATAGATGTTGTTGTTAAACATTTATCTTATTTTTTCACGATCAATTTTGCACATACGCGCCGGCTATTTACCCGGGAAATATCGTTGATTATTATTTGGACATTGATGTCTTTACACTCTCTTGATGGATGAAAGAAGCTCATCACACTCGAAGCTGAAATCAGAAGAATTTCGAATTTCGTTTTTTTTATTTCTCTCTCTCTCTCTCTCTTTCTATCTCTATCTTTCAAAAACTTTGTATCGAATCAAATGCCATATAATTGAATTCTCCGCGGAATGGATCCATCAAGAGCCAGTGGCATGAAAGGAAAATCCAAAATAGTTTTCGATTGAAGCCAGCAAACGATGTGGTGTGAGGCTGAGAGTGCGCATACGCGCACGCGTACAAACGTATGCGAACCGTAAATTAAGATTCACCAAATATTTGTGTGGTCATCATTAGCCGTTATGATAAGCACTTTGCGTGCATCAAATGAAAATGAAAATGCACATGCAGTCTCGGTCGGCATGGCCACTTTCCGTTCGCACGAAATCTTTGAAAATGTACAGCCTTACATAAAAGCGGCGTCGAGTAGACAGATCGGACTGGACACAACTGGAAGGTTGGTAACAGAAAAATCATTGCATCATAATACATTACTGCATAATATCGCTCCTCATTCCGTATCTTGTGAATGTTCATTTTATTTATTTATTTTTCCTATTTTTGTTAATAACATTACATTTGGGCTGGCAGTGTGTATATATCTGGAATTTTCATTTTAATTGTTGCATGATGCGAATAAAGGCTTTAATTACGATTCCAAATGTGCACACGTTTTGTCCGCCTTCGTGAGATGTATGCGCGAGTGCAGTGCAGTGCAATGCATCACATCGATGCATTGCGTTGCATTGCGCGAATCGACAGAATATTACTTATACTATCGCTATCTAATGTTGTTTTGATGGGTTTTCATTGCTTTAAACCATATCTTGCGACCGATTATAAAACCAAGTGATGTATATTTGTCAAATGTCGAGATTCTGGAAACACGACTGCGGTTTTATGTAACAAATGAATCCAAATGAAATGATATACACCCATGTTTGCAATTGGCAAAAACGGCAGCAACGAGATTGTGTGTGTGTGTGTGTGATTACGATTAAAATACAACATTCGATGTATAGTAAAGTAAATAAATAAACGGTTACGATTTTGTAACACACCGTCCCCATTCATTGAACGAACTTTTTCAAGAATGAATCCGAATTTCAAAGAGGTGAACTTGTTTCGAATCCCATTGACGATATTTTTACACACTGCAAATGTGCAACGGAATGGAATATATGTGCATATCCACGCGGCCCTGCTCCTTGCACTTGTTTATGTATATAAATCAGAGCAATTTGCAATACAATTCCACCACCGTACGATTCACGTTACATACACATTCAGCCGTTAAACTGCAGAACTGCACACGGTACACACGCATCGGTTTTGATGCAGTTTTTGTTTTGGTATGATCTCGTTTTTTTCGCTTCACTTCAATGTGTGCTGTTGATGGTTGTTGTTTTTTTTTACTTCTTCTGTTATTGTTTACGTACATTTTTCCTTTTGGATGATTGTATATAAATAAGATCACCCAGTTAAACTTGCGTTCATATCAAATCTGCAAAGCCATTCGACTCGTTCGCTTTATTTCGATTGAATCGGTGCGATTGCAACGGCGTTTAGTGCCTTCGGCGTTTATTTTTTTTGTCTATACGAATTTTTTGTATTGTGAAACTTTGTTTTAAAAGTGATTTTTCGTTTTCTACAACAAAATTTGGAAATTCGTCCTCAATCATTAAATTAACAAAACAAAAAAAAATGTTCTCAAAAATCCCAGTAAGTGCATGTGTGGCTACGGACAATTTTAAGAATTTTTAAGGTTTATAAAAAATAATCAGGTTTTTAGTGAGTGGAAATCAAAATGGAAAAAAGATGTAAATTTATTTGCATAGAAGAAATGAACAATAGTTCCTTTTTATTTCAGTAAAAGTGGCTACAATATTGTCGATTGACTCTTTCTGGAGATTTTGTATTAGTGACCACTCTTTCATTAAAGAAAACCACGTTTTTCTCCACGAGTCAATCTAGTTGATTATTTTTCGTGCTTATTCTCGTGAATTTCAGTGATTTAAAGGCGATATATCTAACAAATGAAACGAAATTAATCATGAGCTCGTTACATTGTTTTAACATTATTCAAGAACATTTTCTGCCAAAGCTTCCATTAAATAATCAAACTAAAAAAAATCGGTTTTACTAACATGCTTTTTCTATTTCAGGTCATGAAAGTCCTTGTTTTACTTTGTTTTATTGCTGCGACTAGCGCAGCGCCGATTTTCTTTGGCCATCCAAAGCAGTAAGTAAAAACGCTGGAATCATTTCAAACAACTCCCTTTAACTTAATAAGCTTCAATGAAATTTAAAAAATAAAACGTTTCAAAAGCATTTGTCCAACGTTTGATTAACATTAAAATAAAGTCTCAAGTATTCTAACCAACTAATATTGATTATCTTCTGCGAAAACTTCATTCGTGCATTAGAACGCAAATTTTTATAACTCCTCGAAAGGATACCGTATCGTCGACGGTCAACCAAATCCCAGCCACATTGGTCAAAGCAAGACCAGCTCTTAAATTGAATGTGCCCGTACATGTGCCACCAATGCCTGTACAGGTGCCGGTTATTGGCCAAGTAAACGTTCCACAAGCCAATACACACGTATCAACACCGCACGAAATGAACAAATTATTTAACGAAATGAAAAACAGCAAAAAACCATTTATGACCATTACAATGAAAGCACCAGCCAAATCATCGTCATTGTTCCCCGATCCATTTAGTCTATTCGAAGAAAACAAGTAGGTATTCATGTGTTTTAATGCAGTGCACACAAATTCGCACACACATACACTGAGCAAGCAAGCCCAGAAAAATCGAACAAAAGTGTATAGCAAAAAAAAAAAAAAAGCGCAGTAGAATATCGACCCCAAATCGAAATTCACAAGAATTTCTCTTGGTGAGATGCTCATGTTTTTATGCACCAAATGCATGCATATCAAGCCAATGGAGCATCTCTGCATCAGTTTATTTCTCAATCAATCACTTACACCATGCATAAATTCCTTTTCTATTTGTGAATATTATCTCCTTAATTGATGCACCTATCGATCTGTAGACTGCCACACAATCACATACACACATGTTTTCTTCTTCTTCTTCAATTTTCTTTCAAAGTAATTTCTTCGTTAGCATTAATTTCACTCTCAAAACAATCGATCATTCCACTGATCACCGATAGACCGCACACCAATCAAATAAATATGCACAAAACAATGAGAAAACTGAGCTATATGTTTCTTTCTTCTAATTTATTACATATTCAATTTGGCTGCAGTAAATTATTCGAGTAAGCGGCGAATAAAAAAAAATATATTTATATTGAGTTGTTTACACATAGACACACACATTCGGCTAACACCGATTAATTTGTTTTCATTATGCTGCAACTGCGAATATTACGTTCATTCCGAGTAGATCGCGTGCCTGGACACGCATGTTTACCTCATTGATTATTCATTTTTCGTTGATCTGCGTATCTGATCTACTTGCACTGCTATCTTTTATCACCGCGTCGTTCCAGCACAATAACGGCCAATATGTAAATCAGGCCAGCAGATCAAATCGAAAACATCATCGACACATCGGTGGGACGGCTTCAAGATAATATTTTCCATTTCGATATGTATTTATATATAAATATTTATCTTCTTACACTAATTACGGTCGTAATAAAGTAATAAACATACACATCAGTTTGCAATTTATTTGAAGAGAGCAAAATAGTTGTGCCGTATTTAGTGCGCTTTACATAATATTACCAATTGTGAAAATAAGTGAAATTGCAATGATCAAGAGTAGAAAAAAAAACGAACTTAAAATGATTCGCTCATTCATTCGTTCGTTTGCTCGTTTGACTGGTACAAAATAAAAAAAAACAGCATTTAAACATTTACGATCACTCGTTTTTTTTTTCTTCAGCTAAACAAAATTCCCATCGTATACTTTAGACCAAACTGAGCTTATCCGGCGTCGTAGTACTTTTTATGATCAATGAATTTGTTCAATCAATTTCCACAATTACGATTTGTCGATCAATTTAATGGCTACCTATGAATAAAGTATACAAAATAAATATATTTGCAATGTCCGTCCTGTTTGTATAACACATAATACACATACACACACGGCACCTTATTATCAATGGGCAAACGGAATTTGATTAGGGTCTTATCATGAAATATGTATTTTTAATGATTACCTCTCGTCAACGGCATTATTTAGGGAAGTGGAAACTGATGAGTTGTGAAAGGCAAAAAGAGTTTCATGCTTGTCGTGTAGTTTTTTTTCCATTAAGGACTTCAAAATGACATGTATTGTTTTTTTTTATCTGCTGTAAACACCGAACATGCATCATGTTTCCAATTTATTTCCATTTTCCATGCTTTTTTATTCGATTATGTAAGTTAGGAGAAAAATAATCCTTTCATTTATTGCATACGCTAAAACAACAATCGTTTCGTTCGATCGGGTTTTATCGGTTGAGAGATAGTGTCGCCAAGCTTTTGATCGTCTGGCACATGCGCCATTCGTCACTCTACATGCAAACATTACTTTGGCCCACATTTATTCACCTCTTTATGATGTCAATCAAGTGTCATTCGAATATAACACCTACTCTTGTTTCACAAGATAACAACCCGAAGACATTTCGATCGCATTTATATGATTTAGGAATGGAATTCGTAATTGCATTCTCCTTTCGAAGCGATTCTTCGACATGCTTGGCCATGCCTTTATCGTGTGTCTCTTCAGTTCGGAATTATGCGTGAATGTGTTTAATAAATATGTCAGCATTTGAATTTATTCGCCATATAATTACGTGAATCATACTCGCGCGCGCATGATCATCACATCTTGTGAATTTGACATGCATTCAACAACACACTTAGCTAAAAAAAAAACCACTTTTTGTCTCTCTTTATTGCCATGTTCAAGTGATTCGTGTGTGCCATTTCGGTAATTATGTGCTAGATCTATGGCAATATTTAATTTGTGCAATAAAAATGATCGGGCTCATCGTGAGCACATCACTCGTGTGCCAAAAATACTACAAGTATATAACCAGGTAAAATGGTTAAACTTTTGATCAATGGATAATATGAGAATTACACAAAAAAAAAATTATAAATAATTATGTAATCATCGATCGATTTGATGCTATGCATACACACAATTTGTGGTTAAAACTTTCAATCAGTGTAGCAAGCAAAACAAAATTACTCGGTTCCCTATTTCATCCGTGTAATAGCCATAACGGTTTATTTGTGCAAATATTATCCGTGGAATTGGCATCGAAATACACATTGCCGTCGTCTTCGTCTTCGTCGTCGGCTAGACAGTCAACTCACTCACATTTTGTGAAAGCAATACACAATTGGCTATTATTAGCGAAATGGTGAATATTTTATCCATTAGAGCGCACTCTTGAGCACCAATTGGTTTCCAAACCAATTTATTTGAAGAATTAATCCAAAAGAGTCAAGTGTGTTTTGTTACCAATATTGGAAGGAATTGGGTATGGTAACACCATTCATATATATATATATACACTCTAGTGGGTCTCTCTTTCATTTGAAACCATTCATTTTGAACCCCATTTGCCAAGGATTTATCGCTTCGAATTGGAGCTCATACATAAATTTCACTATGTGGCGCGACAACAAATCGCGAATAATATAGAAAAAATAATAATAATTTTTATCGTGATGAAAAGCACAAACGCAACATAAACACACAAAAGTGTATACATATCGAGGCAGATGAAAGCAGCAGCAGCGGGAGAGTGAGGTACATTTTCCAACAAACAACGTATAATGTCTTCCGTCATTGCGTTCAACAAATAAACACAAAGTATCAACGAATAATAATAATGAATACGTGTATAGGCAAATGTACACTTTGAGTGTGCACGAGCTCATGCGAAGTCGCGCGCACACAAGAGATGCTTTGTGTCCATACGTACTTGATGATTATCTCATTACAAATACGAACGTATTTTGTCTGACTACCATCGCGTCATCGTCGTCGACATCGCTATTGCCATTGCCATGGAATTTTAAAAATGTCTGCATGTGGTTTGTTTACAATTTGGATACGCAAAGCAAGAAGAGAAGCGAGTGAATAGAAGGGGAAAAAAGTTAGACACACCGTAAATTAAATGGTCTTATGGCGCGTCGATGAAAGTGAAATTGTCTAGTTTTTGACGGTGATTATAAAACTAGTAGAAGTTTTGTGAAAAATTATCGTCAATCGGTTTTTATATTGAATAATACAAATATGCAATGCAAACGCATGAAAATTACGCTTAATTGACAAATGATCATTTTTTCTGCTCTGAAGAATGGCATCATTTCGGAATCACGTTATTTCCTTTTGACGGAATTGTGATTGAAACTTTATTTTGGATCCGATTACACTGTTGTTGAGTGTTTCTGGCAATGCACTTTCCATTTTTTTTCTCTCACTTCAAAGACAACGCACTGACCGCATAATGCACGAACAGTAGTGCAGTACCAGCTACAAATGTCCAATCTCATTTGGTCATATATTGTGTGTCGGTCGCTGCTTCCGAAATGCATGTTCGGCCAATTTCATTATCACATCGCGAGTGTCATTACGGTTTTTTTTCCCCTCTTAGATTAATTTGTACTTTAGAAAAGACAATGAAAAACGGTAAATGCATGTAAGCGCAAGACAATCGATGGAGTTGTAAAAAATTTACTTATTGTTTTGGGTTTTGTTTCATGATGAAAATGTAAACAACAATAACTTGATGTTCTTTTTGTATTTCATTTCATTTTCCGTCCGCTTTGTTTTTGCTGATCCGATTGACTAGTGAACATATTGTCGTCCATGGTTTGTATTTAAATTTAGATGATTATTTGTTATTGTTTTTCGTGTTGATTGTGCGCTAAAAAAAAAAATTTCTCTCCATTTTCTTCTTTTTATAGTGCCATACAATGTGCATACACATAACATACATCACCATCACATTCAAACCGTGCCTATCTATAAGCATGTACCAGTGGTAAAGCACGTACCATATGTGAAGGAAGTGGCGATTCCTATCCATCTGGATCATCAATATAACCATGGCTGGGCACCAGCACCAGCGCAATGGTGGTAGTTTTACGTGTGTATAAAATTATACACGCAATACGAGCGAAGCAACACAGACTTGGACGAATGAGAGTGAAAATCGAAACAAATTTACAATGAGCAGAACAACGAACGAGAAGAAAAAAACCAAAATTCATCTGATTGGAATCAACAAACACCATTTCAGCATTTTATTTCTCTCTATTTTATACTTAATTGTTTCCAAAATGAAAAGAAATTATTGCAAATCATTCGGATGAGACTTAAAATAAAGGTGGTTGTTGCCTTGTCGCCTAACTGTTAATAAATCTTGTTTGTTTTTCCTTCTCCCTTCATTTTTATTATTATCTATTTATTATGAGATTATCCCGATTCATTTATTGTATAATCATTGCAGTGAACGGTTTGTTGTCAATCAATTTCGGTTGCGATTTCGTGAAACATCATGCTGATCTGCCGATTCTTCTTTTCTTTCTCACTCAATGTTTTGTTTGCCTTTTCAGAGATGATGTTGAACGGTTTTCGATAATACATTCCAGTCGAGAGTGAGACAATCTCTTCCGTGTAACATATAGGAAAATTTGCGATTTATTTTGAGATCTCCATTGCAATAGTTGATCAGTGATCATATGAGCAGCAGCAGCAGCAGCAGCAGCAGCAGCCACAACAGCGAATAAACACTTTTGTCGCGCATGTGTCTGTGGTGTTATATGGAACGTATGAGTGCCCCATTGGAAAAAAATAATAAGAAATTTATGTATATAAATGTAGAAAAAGTAATAGTCATTTAAAACACGTTCGATTTGAAAGTTCTTCCGCAATCCGTTTATGGCTTTTGGATGGAATTGAGAGAAAGATGGAGAATCTGTTTGCTGGAAATGCCGCGAATGAAACACTGTGGTGTTATATGGCCACTGGACAATGGCAAATATTTAAATTCCGTGTTAACCGTTTTACCATATAGTTTTCCGATTCTACACGTATAAAATACGCGACTGGTTTGTGCTGCGGTGCGAGTTATCAATTACAGTCTCTCTATCTACATTGTTGGTCGTGTCCCAGGCGCAAGTAGTAATATGAAATCAATGCTAAGACACAACTTTGTAATATGATCAAATGAAAGTACACACACACACACAATTCTACTGGCATGTTGCACCAAACACCCGAGTACTGCATCATAGCGACGAAAGCATTGCAAATCAGGCATGACACTCGGCTGCAGAATAACCAAGTAATAGGAATAGCAGAATAGTTCCGCAACACGTATGATGATGATGATGACGATGATAATAAACAACAAACAGCGAGATTTTTTTCGTCTTCGTCGCTGCTAATCGCACATTAAATGCACATATTATTATGAACTTTTCATCTTCAGACGATTTTTTCTCTCTGAAATGCATGTCGTGTGGATGCTTCGGAAGCTATCCCAATTTGGTTTTTAATTTCAATCGTTGACTTTTCTTTCCTACCGCGGATGTGATTAGAACCTCGAAATGCAATTGAAAAGCACATGGGCATAAAATCACCCGTTCGGACAACTTCGTCATTTGATTTTGCAGTGAAAGTTTCAGGCATCTTCCTTTAAACGGTTACAGTAAAGCCATTTCAAATTGTGCACCAAATTTATGTGTTGTTACCCTTTGGACAACACCTTGTGAGTTGACAACTAGATGAACGATGCCACAGAAGAAATGGCCAGTTTTTATATTCCATCATATTTTATATGGTTAAGTGTTTTTTTTTCGCCCCATCGTTAATATTTTCTTTTCCTTCTTTTTCATTTTGCCGAACATTCTTTATGCTTGCCATTAATTTTCAAATTGTAAGCCAATTAAGGAGTCCACCAGTTATTTTTGGTATTCTCACATAGGTAGGCCTTAGACTCAAGTAAAAACATTATTTTAATTATACGCATAGCTTTACAATTATCCACATTATTTTCCACGCTGACTCTTTATTGCGCCGCCGAAATGGTGTACTGTTGCCCTTCACTTGGCTACTTATTACGTGAAAATATAAAGAGCGCGCGCTGAATTCAAAGCAAAATCGTGATTTTACTATCATATTTACTTAGGAATTTATGATGATGTTCAACACCAAGCCCAATCCAAAATTCATCAAATGCTTTTTTACCAGTTTTTATTCCATTATTTTCGCTTATCTGATGTTTATGCAATTTTATTATCAATTTGAACTTGCCTGAGGCCTTCCTATGACTTTAATCTTGCTCGATCGTATACAATGTCCATGCATTGAGCGTGAATATTGTCATTTTGTTGGGAATTCTGCAAACGCTCACATAAAATGCGGCTTTAGCGAATGGCGACAGAGAGGAGAGAGGGAGAGAGAGAGAGAGATCAAAGAAGCTTTAAATCATTTATTATAGGCAATAAATGGGCTTCTGTGCACGAAAATCGCATTTGGTGACAAATGGAACATGTAAATGGGAAATGTGCTTGGTTTAGGTAATTGTGGCATTCACTTATTACTACATTATTTGGTCGGAGTGGAAATACGCTTGAATAATGACAAAAATACATGATGGTCATAAGCATCGTGTGCTCGAGTTTCCGATAGTAATAACAATAATAGTAAAGCAATGAAACAAAACGAAGAGAGCGAAAAAAAATACAAATCTTTTTGACATATGCGTGACACTTCGTTTGAAGCAACTGATTCGTGCTTCGGCCCGGGCGGTATTATAGAGAGAAAAAAAGCCGGCATAAGCATTGCGTGAAAAACGTTTTGTTCGACTCTTGGCAAAACACTATATCGCTTCATTAGTAAATTTGGGTGGCGCGTGCGACAGTTCAATTAATTCGTAACGACAATCAACACGCTGTTGAGTCGAAAGAAAAGTTATGATTAAATATTCATTAATGATCGATGTGAATTCATCGGTCAATTTTGTTTCAAGTATTTGGCCTATGTCTTAAGCGCCAATGAATGGGCACGATCTGTAATTCGATCAGACAATTTACTGGCATGCGAATAAACTTAAAGTCACTGTGTTTCTTCTCTCTCTCTCTCTCTCTCTCTCTCTCTCTCTCTCTCTCTCTCACTCCCTCTGTATGTGTGTGTGTCTCTAGTCAACTATGCGATTATTTTAATGAGCCCAATTACATGTTTTGTTATTTAATTTGAAATGAGCAAGGAAAATGATTCAAGTTCATGGCGATTTGAGTAACACACGTTCTTTGCGATTGAATGCGCTGGCGCACCAATAGCACGCTCAAAATGAAGATAACAACAACGAAGACGACGACGACGACGACGACGGCGGCGGTGGCGGCGCATGTCTGTAATTCAATTGAGTTTTATGAATACTCGAAATCTCATTGAGACATTGATGGCGGCAGCAGAGCAAACCGATAGATCAACCACGAAATAGTGAAGAAAAGTAGAAGAAGAGCACTGCACATCTCACATTTCAACAGTTCCAATGGCCATATATCATTGACGCAATTGAATAAATGGTTTTGTGTGAGCTGTCAGTCCGGCAGAAGCACAATAGCCACAGCTGAAACATCTATACATATGTATGTTCGAACCAATCCAAAGACTACAGAACACAATTAGCCGCATAGATTGCGTGCTGGCCATCACTGCCAAAATAAATGTCCAATGTGGAGTTGCAACCATGAAGCCATAAAGTGAACTATGGAAACGTTTTTGTATCATAAATCAAGTCTCTTTTATTCTTCCATTCAGCCACAACCGATAAGTTGCTTCTTTTGTTTCGATACAATAAAAAAAAATTGCACAAAAAAACACTTACACACAGAGAGAGAGAAACAAAAGTGAGACTGGACGGAAAACAGAATGGCCAGAAAAAAAAGCACACAAAACAAAGCAGCAACAAAAAAGAAACACTTTTAAAACAAAAGACCACAACGAAAGATGGAAAAACGATTTTACAATCGAAGCTAAACTGCTAACAAAATTAATTACCGACAATAACAGAAGCCATTTGATACGTCGACAAATTGTGAGGCATTTGGTCTTGCGATTTTCGACTTTTCGGCCACAATCTTGCAATGGCAAGACCCTTTGCCAATGGATTAAGCTCTTTTTCTCTCGCTATCTCGTTCTCTCTACGTCTTGATTCCATTCGATTCATTCATTTATTTATTTATTTGGTCTTCAATGTTTTCATTGATTTGGCTCTCTGTTGCTCTTTAAGCGACCTCTTCCATTTCTCACTCTCACTTTTTGCTTTTCTTCGCTCTTTCTCGCGCTTAGTCTCTATCAGTCTAATGTCAATGATTACAACACATTTTTTGTCCGTTGTGCTCAAACAAAGAAAACATATTCAAATCTTTATAGAAATACACTATTGTAATTACCTTATTACATACACGCGTATTTATAAAACTTAGCCACAAAATGTTTTATTCAGACCAGAAATTGAATGGCCAAACCAAGTTGAATTAATCGAGACAAGAAGCGAGAAGAGTAGCAATAAAAGTAGGCATGATACACACATCAGAGTTGGGTGCGCGAGCGACGACGAACATTGAAAACGATGAATCGTGCGCAACGTGAAGCAATGCGTTGTATAAGTAATGCCGAATTATGCGCAATTTATGTGTGTGTGAGAACATCGAGCATATGGCGCGCGAATCCAAGAAGAAAACCGAAACTCGACAAAATTAACCGGTGATGTATCCATTTTTTTTTATTATTATCTCTATTCGAATTTCAAGCGAAAAGAGGGCGAAATGGTAAGTTTGCAACAACAATAAAATGAGAAGAAAAAAAGAAGAAGAAGAAGGTGGAGAAGGAGGAAAAACGGCATATCACGGGCCGCACGAAATACATTTCATGCATTTGACTTTTGAAAGACTCTTCACTTGCGATAGCGACGGAGCGAGAGACGGAGAGAAGCCGATGTCACGGCAGATTTGGATTACATAAAAGAACGATAATATTGTTGTACAGATATGCAGCCCAGTGAGTGTGCAGTGTGCACATTAACAGCGTCAAAATTTCATCATATCCCTGGAAACGATTCACAGTTCAACTAAATGAGCGTTGTTATGCGCGCGAGCGCGCGGCCGCACTCACACTCAATGTTATCATTATTAGCCGGGGAAAATCACGAAATGTCAAAATGTAGATCCGATTGCACATCGGCTTCAATTCAATTCAATTCGAGTCGGTGTACTTTTGCATTACTTCGCTTTTCTGCATACAAATGACACATTAAATGAGTTTTATATTTTGCATTTTGCCTTGACCAATGAGTTAATAAACAATGATGGCATTTTTTTCCTATCTATCGTCGGTCGTTTGTTCGTTCGTTTTCTTCTTTTTCTGTCATTTCACTGTGTTTGTCGCTGGACTGATTGGTGAGACTCTCTTCGAAATTGCGATGTTTGCATTGCGAATGAGTTCCGTTATTGAAATGGCTTGCTTGATGTTTGACACTTAAATAACATTGCTGGGGCTTCTGTCGTAGCATATTATGTTTGTTTACGTACGGTTAAATTTCTATATGGATGCTGCGCTTACCGTTCTCTTTCACCGGTGGTATAATGTTTTCAGCTGTTTGTTGTTGAATGCTGTCGACGGTGCGCGCGCATTTTCATCGTAGTTTTCATTTTCGTTCGGGTGTTTTTCGTATGGGAACTCAAGTACAACAATGTCGTTTGGCTGGCAACAAACTAAAGAAGTGAGCGCTGCTTCACACGTTACCAACCAGGCGATCAAAGCCCAAATGACTATGTTGTTTGATGCATGCACAACACACAACACACGGCGACAGTCGCACCGACGCGGCATACAGTTTTGAGTTTTGAGTCGTTTTTTTCGTGTATTTGCTTTGCTTTTCTTTCGGTTCACTTTCCATTGCGCGCGCTGCAAACTCCAAACGAGCGAGAGAAGAACAGGCACACTCTCGCTCGCAAAAGCATCTATCTGTGGCAAGAGGACGGAAATGTGTGAAATTTTATTTGATTACCAACCAGATGCCTTCGACGCAACGGTCTCACTTCAACACAAACCATTTCGGATTCGATTTGCGCATTGTTAGATTTGATGTTATTTATGTTTGGCTTGGGCTGATATTTTATGCGATTGCTGGTGCTGCTACCACCGCTGCAATTACTAACATTCACGTGGAGTAGTGGAGGCAACGGAGTATATAAAATAAGATGAACCAAACGGTTTCGTCAGTTATTAGACCGAATCAAACGGTCCTGAATGATACTGCCATTTTCCCAGTGAATTTTTACGAAGAAATTCAAACAGCAGCGCAGACAATCCAAAACAGTTTCGATTATCGAACGCATGAAGTCTGTTCTCCAGTGAATGTGTATGCCTGTGCATAACGGATAATTCAAAGACATTTCCAAATATATTTTTTTGCGACAAACCGTTGAAGTGTGCATTTTACTTGCAGTCTAAAGTTGAATTTACTTAGTTTTTTTTTAATCAAAAAAAGGATATTCAATGGACTGAGTTTTAGAAGCATTTGAAAATGATAATCGATTACAAGGAAAATTCTACGATTTCGATCGTAAGGATGGTCAGTGTCCAACCACTAGATTCTCTAGTTTTTTTTTTCTTCATTAATTTGAAATTGTGTTGTGTTTGTGGTCATATTACACGAAATTCACAGGAATGTACTCCTTCAAGAGCCCACCATTTTCTCCCTAAAATTGGCGATTGTTGAAAGTGTGAAAGCATGTGTTCTAACTACAGTTATAAGTGTTTTTTTTATCCGTAATATCCAGTGTCTGTCCCGCAGTTTCTTCATAACATTTGAATTTAAGAACCGTTGTTGTTGATGAAAACGGACGTATAATTTGCCTGTTTGGATTTGCATCGGAGCTTCGTTTTTGCAAAAACACATCATTTATTTCATCAGCATTGTATTTGTTTAGTACCTGGACCCAAAGGATCGATTTTAAAATTGTTTGAATCGATTCAAAGGAAACAAGGAATTGGGTATCGAATTTTATGTTTTATGTAGATAAATGTGGTTTTTGCAGGTTTCCTTCTCTTGCATAGAAATCTTTCATTGTGAGAAGATCTTGGGGTACCGAATAAGATTCATTGCGACTTCCATGTTTACCGTAATGCAATACGACATTTTTTGTACATAAACAGAAATTCTGCACATTTTTTTCTCCAAAAACTTATTCATAAGCAATCGGAATTTTAGATAATAAGGCACTTTGCGATTTGTAATTCATCACTCTTGTAACTATTTTAGTACCTATCTAAAATGTTCAAAAGTTGAAACACATAAAATATCGAAGTAACACACTCAATACGCTGATTAAGATATTTCAAATCAAAAGATGAGATGTGCCAATTTCAATAAAAAAAAATTATCATCTCCCAATTGTCAAGGTGAACATTTTCGAGAAAATCAGTAGAAATGGAAATAATTGCAGATATCACAAGAAAGCTTGAAATTGCAACCTTCAAATTCGTTTCTCCCAAGCAAAAAAAAACGACATAAAACACATTAAAACCACACACAGTTCGTGGGTCACACCTGGCCAATGTCGATTTTTTTAAATCACCATTGTTGGGTTCACATTCCACAGTAATGATGCGATGGACTTCATTTTACTACCAAAAATCTCACATGAATTTGATGCAAAATTTCATTAAACGCGCTCGAGAACATGTACAAAAAACAGCCTAATTTCCATAGATTATGAGAATCGTTTGTTCATAATTAGACGAGACAATGCAAGTACATGGAAATTTCGTTTTTCTTTTTTGACACGAAAGTGGCTTGTTTGTCTGATCCAAATTGACGTTCCATAGGATATGATGAGACAATAGTACAACCAGCCAATCTCACTCTATATCAATGGACCATCAAATGTGAACGACACAAAGAATCCACGATTAATTTGAATTTGCACACATAAAAAAAAACGCGACGGGCGACTGTACGTTGAACTCTTTTGCCATGAAAACACTCATGTATGTTTTGATTTTTTTGTCTCTCAATTCGTTCATTTTCATATCAGTGCAATGTCATGTCATTCCCTTCAACCATAAATTTTCGTAAACATTTCCCTGATCGCATCAGGTAAAGTAACTGTTTTCATTTTCATTTGCAATTGGAAATGACGACGACGAAGACGACGACGACAGCAACGGCCAAGATGAAAATAGCAAACAAGTCATCGAAATCGCGATAAACAAACGAGAAAAAAAACGGAATCAGATGCCATATACCTCTCTATGTCACCTTTACGCTTTTGCACAATTGCATGGAGAGAAATATCATCACGTAATCTCCGGAAGTATGTCATTTCAAATGACTTCGACAAACGGCATGAGAATTTTGCAATCGAAATGTTCAATCCGAAACAATTGAAATTCGAAAAGCGAGAAATGGAAAAGCACAGACACACTCACATACCGGCAGAAAACTGTAGACAACCACTATTTGAGCAAAAATATGCAAAACAACAGCACAGATAGTTGTGTCTCAAATGTCGTTATTTTCTCATTGTTACAAAGGAAAATACATAATTCGCTGTTGATTTGGTTTCTGAGACGATCTGTGCCGTGCCGCGTACATCGTATCGAATGGGAAAATCCAAAGCAGAAAAAAAAACTATGTGTGAATACGTATCGATCAGTCAATTTGTCATTTTTTTTCCCATTGATTGACGAAACATAAAAGAGACATTGATGTGACACATTATATTATATTCGACGGCATTGGCGGATCGGATCGAGTGATGGTGAAATTAATTTCTATTTCAGCAAGATGACCATATGCGTGCGCATGCAACTGACAACACATGAAAGAAGACGCAAAGAAAAGATACATGGCCATTGCAATGTCCGCCCCTTTTTTTGTCTGACGCGTCTGTACACCTCTATTCACAGCTCTGCATATTTTTTTTCTCTCTTTTGAGTAATTACAGTGTCTTGCCACATATTTCGCATAATTTGGAAATGAAAGAGGAGAAAACTCACGAAATATTTCTTCTGTCCGTTTTCTCCCTGTCGCGGACTCATCAGTCCATGCACACTGTCTAATCGTTTAGCAATGCAAATATATTTCAATAATTTCACAAAGCGCCAAATTACATAAAACCAATGGCAAGGGAACAGTGAGCAATTGCTCAACGTGGTCATGATTCGTGTCGAATAATTCAATTAATGACCAAATGCGCTGACCATATTTTTTTTTTCTCTTTAAATTCGTAAACTTCTGTTTCAGTGTATCGTTGATATATTGATTTGGGGCCATTGATTCATCAGAAGAAAGAAAGGCAGAAAAAAGCGCGCACATACATAAAGCATCAACATTGTAGTTGGCATGCACTTAATAAGAGAGAGAAAAAGGTTATTTCTTTTGTTTTTTTTTGTGATTTTCTGTAAGTCATAGTGAAATGCCCTTCAGTACGTGAGTTCGTTGCGTTATTTAATTGAAAATTAAAACACTAAAAAGAGATGATGAAAAAAAGCAGCAGCAGCAGCAACAACAACAACAAAAGATATCTCATTCGCGAAACGATGTACGAAAACAAAAAATTAGAAACACTGAACTATTTATAGAGGTTGAATGATTGCTGGTGGTGTTTTTCTTTCTGTTCACAGACAAAAATCAAACAATACATTTATGATACACTTATTCTGTGTAAAAATTCTCCAATAAACACGCGTGATGAAAGCTAAGGTACGAGAGCTTCGATGTGGACAAATACCAGCGAAGATTCTTCAAACACGTACAGCGCAGCGCGCATGCATTTATGTGTAATTTACAGCGATTAAAGTGTGGGAAATTATATTTTAACACTCTATTTAAGAGCCGACGATGAAATCACTGAGGAAAATGAACGATGACTCGAAATCAAGTACGAGTCTTTAACATGTACATAGTTGCCTGAACGAGGCAAGGTGTGCGCGCTCTCGTGACTGAAGAGCAACAGCGCGGCAACAGCGACAACAACAATAACAATAACAATAGCAACAGCCACCTAGATGACTTTTTGCCTTTATCGCTGAGAGTAAAAGCAGTCAGAGTACATGCAATAATATGATGCTGTTTTCCAATTTCAACGATGAAGTAAGAGAATTTGAATGCCTTCGGGTGGATTACAAGCAAATATAAAATAACGATCGCACTGAAAATGGTATAAATCTTCATGTGCCTCTTTTTTTCTCTCTTCTTTCTTTCATTTTCATTCATTTTTGTGTTTCTTCTGTGAATTTTATGTCAATGAATTTTGCACTTGGATACCGTCATATTACAACGCGATCTGAAGTCATCGTTTGTTATGGTTGTTATTATTGTCGTTTGTAACCATAATTCAAAAAGCATATTTAATACGCTTCCGGATCGGATTAGTACAAAAAAAAACACGTGTTTTCGCCTTTTTTGTCCGACTGTGTTGTGTTTGTGTGTTTGGTTTGGTGAAAAAAAAAATTTATATTCATAAATTCTGCTTCAATTTAGTTCATCGTTTTGAGCTTATAAATATGTACTAGCTGAAATGGTAACATTTGTTTGGGAGCGCTTTTTAAAATATCACAGCGAAAGTGATAGAAATCGAAGTGAACACAACAACAACAGCAGAAAAAAGCTTAATGAATTCTTCCTCCTGGCGGGCATTTCGTTCGAATTCCTGTGAATTTCGTGTTTTTAACCAATTTAAAACTCATTTTCTCAAGTCACACGAAATTTTCACTTCTATTCTCACTTTCAAATTCCAATTTGTTTGCCACAATTTAGATTCTGTTGTTGACCGTGTTTGGTGCCATAATCTCATCTGTGCTCGCATATGAAGACTCTTATTCGAAGCCCGGCAGTGGAGCTGATTTTTCGTTAGATGCGAGCGGTGGTTATCCCGATTCAATCGGAGGTGGTGGTGGCGGCGTTGGCGGTGGCTATGACTACACGCCACAACAAAACTACGAACATCATGATCATCACGAGCATCATGAACATCATGAACATCACCCAGAACCACCAAAAGGTCACTGGGAACAAAAAATTAAATGGAAGGAGGAATGGGTAATTCAGAAGTTTGCCATCATTTTAGTTGGTTTTTAAATCATATCGATCGGATCCTCCAATTCGAATACTATCAGGGTGGCTACTGAATAGCAAAATCCCTTCAGAACAACGAATTTTGGCTACATACTCCACTTTGTTAAATCCATTCTATTACAAATTCTTGCAGTGTTTCTCCTCAGATTTTGATAGATAGTTCTGATAAATATTACGACTAAACACTTGAGAATATTTCAGATACATTCATTTTGATATATTTACAACCTACTTACATCAGTTCAGAATTTGCAAATAGTCATTTTTTCGTACAATTTAGTTGATTCCCAATTTCTTGATAAAATATTTGCTTTTTGGTTAAAAATTGCGATAAAATCTGGATTTAATTCATTCCACCAATCGTCAATAAGGTCAAGGAAGTGAAAACGATAAAAAAGCAATCGCACGAAACGAAATGGAAGAGCGTTTCCGTCCCAGTCTGGCAATCAGTGGAAGGTAATGGCAATTAATAAACTAATTACTCTCAATGTACACTGAACAACGTAAATGAATAACTAAATAATTAATTCAATGTAGTTCCCGTGTGGAAGGAAAAGCGAACGCCAGAAGTTAAAGTCATAAAACATCCGGGTGAGTTGAAAATCGTCATAACATTTCACATAAGATTTACAGAAATGGTCATAATAATTTTTACCTTTATCCAAAATATCCAGTTTGGAAGGAGCGTTTAGTGCCCGCTTGGAAAGATGTGAGTTGATTTGATATTAAAGAAAAATGATTCCTTTCATTGGATTTGAAACCGTTTTATTTACATTATGCTCTTTTCATTTGTTTCCTTTTTTAGGTAAAAGTGCCCAAATGGAAAAAGGTAACAGCTAACCTTTCATCATAATCGATTCAAAATGTAAATGGAAACATTATAATGTTCCATTACATTTAATAAAGGTCATGTGGAAAGTATCTGTACTAACAACATTCTTTCTCTGCATGAAAGTTATAATAGCATTTTGATTATTGTGTCGTAGAATGTGATGTCACTGGTGTGTGTATGTGCGTTAACAAAATGAGCCATTTAATTTTCGTGTACCATATAATGAAGCGACACTTTCCACCTGAATTACACGCTAAAAATTATACCGATTAAACGAAATAATTTAACTGAAAACGAATAGAAGAAAGAAAAAGAGAGAGAGAAAAACGAAAGAAAAACCTGCACGAATCGGTTACATAGATCTGTTTTGGTTCTGCTTAATGTCTACAAAGCGATTATTATTTGTAAGCCGAACATAATGACCGCGTGCCTTTCTTCGATTTCTTTCTTCTCTCTCTCTCTCTCTCTCTCTCTCCCTCTCACACACACACTAACTCGAACACACGCGAGAGCTATGCTCATTCATTAACTCAAACCAGAAGTAAACATCATCACAAAGAAATATCCGAGTATCTAGTTGAGGTAGGCAAACCTCCGCAATTAACTACTTTAATCATTTGTTTGCGTCTTTTTCAAGATAAATAAACCAATTTGGGTCGAAGAAAAAAAGGCTGTCTGGCGCGAACATAAAGTCGCTGACTGGAAGCAAACCTGGGTATTTGGACTATCTTTTAATGAGCTTTCATTGTGAAAATTGTTTAATGGTCATTTGAAAATTTTAGGTTCCTGATTGGGTAAAAATGGGAATTCCTGGTGAGAAATTCTTAGGTAAAGACAAAGACGGTTGGGAATACACTAGTCACGATTTATGGCGCAAAAAAATGATTTGGAAACCCGAATACAAAAAAGTTTGGCGAGTAGAAAAGAAACAGGAATGGGTGAGTGGTATTTTTCGTAATGACTCGATTCAGTTCTACTTCCTTCGCATGAAAAAAATGCGAAGCATTAAAGTATTAGCTAGGGGTTTCACGCAACTTGAAATTCATCTAAAATTTCAATATTTCTCACTTTTCTCCCACATTCTCTGGGATTCACCAAAATCCGTATTATTTCGAAATATTTCAAAATTCACCTTGAAAATTATGTTCTGGAAGTGGGTTTTGGTGGATCTTCAGGATGGATCAGACTGGGTTTGACAATGCCCTGGTCCATCCTGAGGATCCACTTCCAGAACCAGGAGTGGTTTTGAACAATCCTGAGGATCCACCAAAGCCCACTTCCAGAATTTTTAGATTCAAAAAATTCTAAAAAATTCGAGTTTATGAATAAAAAGAAGCAATATCTATAGTTTACACATAAAATGGTTTTATTTCCAGCTATTTAGTAAAATCTTCGGCCTTCGAGTTTGCGTGAAACCCCTAGAGTATTAGTAAAAGCCATAAGTCGAAATATTGTATAATTGATACATCATCCATTTTTAGATACCCGAGAAAAAGCTGAAATGGAAAGAAGAATGGTAAATATATAAATCTATTCAATGTTTTGTCCCAAAAGCCAGTTCCAATAAACCGTCTTGTCTGTACTATGGGATCTATTTCACCCAAGTCCATTTTAAATGGACTTCTTTTTTTTTAGGCAGACACACAATTAAATGACAAATAAAAAAAATGAATTCCAATTAAATGACAAAAATTTCGTTTGTAGGGTACAAGAATGGCATACGGAAAAGCGTCAAATTTGGCTAAAAGAGAAACAACAATTCTGGGAAGAGAAAAAAATCGAAATCACTAAAGTAGAAAAAGTGAAGGTTTGGGCCCATGAGAAAAAGTAAGTATCTAACGCTGCAAATACGAATATACGTTTTTACTATACATTCAGTTGACTCTAATTTGTATGAGATAAATATTCACAAAATACAATATTCAATTTGTACTTTCCTACTTAGGCAAGTCTGGAAGAATGAATGGAAGTCATATGAGGTATTTGAATGGCCTTCATCTTATCTTGATCTAAATTTAAAGAAGAAAAAAAACCACGAAAACAACAATAAACCGTTCAACCAAGTAATGTTCACAACCAATTTCCAATTTTTAGGTGCCAGTGTGGAAGGAAATTCATGTTCCAACGTGGAAAAAGGTACGCACATCGTACAGTCAATCGACAGTGATCGACAAATAAATGTTTCCAAAAATTTGATTAATTTTTTGTTTGCGCTCGCGTTCAATTAGATTTGGAAGCCAGTTACAGAGAAAGTATGGGTCCAAGATGAACATCACGAACATCATCACGGTTGGAATTGAGCATTGAATGTACAATACAAATCAAAACTACGGTGATCAATACGGGAAACAAAAATAACAAGATTCTTCGTGTAAACATGAAATGAAAAAAAAAATACTCTAGCATCTAGTAGATTAGTTACGTTAATGGAATATTGTAAATATAAATCATTAGAAAGATAGTGCACAACACACCTAACACACACATACACAAAACGCATAATGGAAATCATCGGCTTCAAAAAATCCTTATCATCATTAATCTACAGCAACGGCAGCCGCCACAATCGCAACAACATTTTCAGAGCCTACTATATTCCATCATCATTGTCCATTCATTTAATTCATTCACCATTAAAAAAAAGAGCAACACCATTTCATTTTTTCGATAGAAAGCAAATTGAGATTGATGCTATGCGTACGAGCGCCCGCGTTTGTTTACGTTCGAGTCATCAAATTAGTTTAAAATTGCGTTTACGCATCTTGATTGAGCATGACGAAAGACAAATAAGCACATAATTGCACCAAGTGCAAATTAATTCCAGTTTGGTAGAAAAATACGGTGATCAGTATCAACAATCAATTTAATTAAATAACAGATGGGACACATTTGGGTTTTCGGTCAGAGTATACGGTGAAATAGCAACAAAAATCAAAACCAAAATAAAAACAACAACAGCAAATATATAAACAACAGAGATATTTTCACGGAGACAATGTGAAAAAAAGCGGCCATTCGAGATTCAACGTAACTGCGTTCCTCTCTTTCTGTCACTCTCAGTTGCCTTTCTCTAGCACTTCTCAAAGCACTCTGAACAAAGCATTAACAAAACTAAATTTCTATTGAATTTTTCCGCGCCGTATTCGTAATGCGTTATATGATTGTTTCCGTAGTTTTGCTAGATGAGATTTTAAGACTAAATTTATTAGTTCGCATTTTACCATTTATTTGATCAAATCAGATGTACGTGCTTCGGAAAAATGAAAATCCCAATAAATAATAATGAGAATGTAAATCAGCAGCTGAAATCTTTTATTTTTTTTCTCTCAATGTTCAACTCTTGGGCCAATGCCACTTTTAACTTAAAAGTTTTAAGCTTAACTCTTGTGTCAAGTTGTTCGAATTAAAATGTGTTTGTTCTTTTTATCACTGGTTGTAAAAGAAAACAAATGTGCAATAAATCGACGGAGTTTTTTTTTAAGCAGCCTGTAGTTAGTTTTATTGCCATCAACTGGAGAATCGCTTTTTGCGTCGATATTTCAAAAGTTTCGCATCGAATCAAACACGATTCCGAAGTGTGCTGCCATCTCACGGATTGCTTGTCAATCCATATCATAAAACTTTGACTGTCTTCAAATTGACGATTTACTGTGCACAAAGCATTCAACATTGGACGAGCCCGAAAGAATGCTACACAATTTGCTTTGGGAAAGTTGCGGATGTAAATGAAATTGAAAATGTAGGTAAATGATCGGTTGGATTTGCGAACGGAATTGAATAAATTCTTACTGAATGGATTTAGTACGTAAAGCGGCAAAAGAATGCAAGAGAAAGCCATCGCGGTCATTGAATGGACCATTTGTTTTGTTGCGCTTAATTGTTCTTTCCTCTTTGTCGACATCAAAATGCCATTTCATCCATGTATTCAAATGATACGAAATGGATCTAATCACCAACGATCCGATTTAAAAATTAATCATTATGAGCCCATTAATTTTCAGCTATTTTACCGATATGTGTAATACATATATGTTATGATACATAACAATTTCATCGGGTAATTATATTCCACCTTCACTGTGTACACATCGACAGTAGTGAAGCGGTGAGTGCTTTCTTTTGTTCAGTGGGCCACAAACAAAATACTTTCAATTCGCCACCCGGCTCTTCTTAATTCTGATGAGATTAATGTTATCTTCATAACAATGTAATTCGCCTTTTTTGGCAAACATACAGACTGAAGGCAGGAGGAGAGGAAAAAATATATATATATACTAAAACATTTAAATCGGGTATGGATCAAAAAAAAAATTTATAAAGCAACAGAAGAAAAAAAGGAGAAAAGAGAAAAAAAATAACGTGGATACGTGAGTGATCGATACGAAACCTGTTATTTGCTTGACGGAGAAAATGTAATATTATCTTTCTTTTGTTTATGTTATATAATTGGCATATGATGATTATTATGGGCGCTTTTCATATCGAATTAAACACGAAAACCAAAATGAGCGAACGATAAAATGAAAGGCTAAAATGTCGAAGTAATTTTAACTCGGCTAATTTAATGTTTTGACAAGCTACCTCTGTACATTCTGTGTCCATTTAGTAAAAGTGGGAATTTCCTTTGTTCCACATGACAAGCATTCCTCCAGTCTCGATTCTCGAGCCACCGCCATTACACAACTTACCGGTTTACATGAGAAACGTGAACGTCGCCGACGACATTGTCGTTGTCGGTGAACACACGGTTCCGTTTCGTTTCGTTCCGACGCTGTGCTTATTTTCCCCCCCCCGCCCCCCCCCCCCCCGTTCTGTTTTATTTCATGTTCCTATATCCGTTTTTGCCCAAAGAGGCAAACAAATGAAGAAGAAAAGCCAATTGCCTGGCAACACAACATAAATCAAACACACAGAAAAAAAAATAGGTGCAAAATTATTGATAGGTCAAGGATAAAGTTGAAATAAAGATTTTGATCAAATCTTGCGCAAATGAAAGAAAACGTCAGAAGTACAATTGTGCCGTAGAATAAGAAGATGTAGATGAGAGAAAAAGAAAACAATGGAGCTTCAATCAGTGCAGAAAAAATACACACACAACAATTCGATCTAATCGGTAATTTATTTCATTCTGATGTACATAATTCGCTTTGTATTGGGTACAGCAACTAATTAACATATATTCATCATTGGTCGTTTTGCGATGCCGTCGATGCACGTTTGTTTTGTGACTTAGCGCGTCGCATATTCAGACATTGAATTTGAAGCATCAAAAGTGGTCATCTTACCACGATGCGGTCACAATGAGCAAACCAAAAGAAAACAAGCGGTCGGTAGTTGCATCGAAATTTTAATTCATTTAAAATTCCTTTCCTGATGTGCCCGCTAATCGGCCATTACAATCATTTTGCGAAAGAGATAGTACATCAATTTACATTCTTGTGAAAAATTCCTTTGGTGCTGTGTGTGTGTGTGTGCGAGTGCGAGTGCTCTCGTCTTCGTTTGAATCATTTTTATCGAGCGACAAGGCAATCAGCGTCAAAATTACTCTCCATTCACATGACATTCTCACACAAATGCTGGCGGCAAACGAAACGAAATATCCTTAACTCGGAACCGTCAAACGGCCAAGCTGTGAACAGTGACAAAACTCGTTATATCCGTTTCGAAATAGTCCCGTACAATTTAAATTGGTTTGTTTTCAATGTGCTGCTCTTTTTTTTCTATGATTTCTGTTGCTGCTGCGGTCGCCGCTGCTGCTGTTTCTCTGCACATTTTGTGTGCAATGTGCATGGAATTGCCACGATGCACAAACTGATAAACTTATGGCAATGCATCAAATCGTGCGACATTTATGTAACGTTCAATCGATGGAATCTGTTAACGCACTTGTCCGCAAATAAAACCATTCCAATCAAGACGGGAAACAGCGTCAAAACAGCAAGCACAAGTTTATGTTTATGTGTTTATCATTGGGAAAATGTGTTTACAAATCGATAACGTTTCTATGCGCATTCGGGGCCGCTATTGAGCGTGAGCTCAAAGGCGCGCGCGCACCACATGCGCTCACACACTATACACCAGGCCGATGAGATCGAGGAAAAAAAGAGTAAAATGAGCGTGAAGAAAGCAAAGAAATAAATATGGAAACAGAATCTAGTTAAATTGAAAAAATACAAAAACAAAACAAAACTTTAAACGAGAAACAAAACGATCGAAGTAGAAAACTACTTTCGTTTTCTTTACTACGCATATTGCCAAATGGTCCAATATTGGATACACACACCCGTCGTCGTCGTTGTCGTCGTTGTTCACTTCACTTTGAATCGTTTTCGTTTCTTGAGCGCATTTTGATAAATGAAGACTTTCTTTACGTAACTTCAATTGCAGCGCTTAACGCGCACCGATATCTATATATATACAATGTGATGTGATGTGATGTGAAATTGCAGCATTTACTTTCGACTTAATGTATCTCATGGTTACAAGTTGCAGGCAAGTTTTCAGCATGCGAATGCATCTGCGATCATCGACGTCTTTTGCATCGAGCTACATTTTTGCCGTTGATGTGCGCGCATACGCGCGCACCTCTTTCTTTGCCATCTCTTATGCTACTCTCTTTTGCATCATTTAGTTTATCGGCGGGCACGGCATGTGAGGTGTATGAACAAAAATACTGGCATTGGCATCGGCATCGACATCGGCACAACGGAACCAAATAACAGTTGGCTACTTTTCATTGCCTTTTTCAATCCATTTCATTTTCATTTGGTTGTAAGATTCGACACAAGTTTCCACTTCCCAGACTTCTATATTTGTGTATCAATCGCAACAAAAAAGCCAAAACAGGCAGTGGCTCAGTTTGCGTCTGTCTCTGTCTCTCTCTCTCTCCCTCGGCAAATTACTTATTTAGCCTGATCTTATTTAAAGGCATGGGGAAAAAGACAAGAAGACAGAAAAAGAAGAAGAAGAAGAAGAAAAAAAACCACCAAACCAGAGACAGACACAGAAAGGCCGAAAGAAAAACCGTCGAAATGTTTCATTCAAATTGTATCGCGTGGTGCTGGTTTTATGGTGTGCGCGTGAGCTAGCGCGCACAACGAACGGCCGGACGGACGGACGAAACGAAAAATGGCATCGGAATATGGAACTCTTTTATAGAAATACATTGCGCGCCGCGTAATAGTGTCCAGTGTCTGTGTTTATTACATATTTTCTTTCCACTCTGACTTCCAATCATTGATATGTGAAATGTTACGTGTTTTGATTTAATGCAATTTCATTTCAATAACAAGATCAATTATTTTCTCTTTCAGATTAAACAAAAAAACAACAAATGTACACATTTAATTTAAGGCGTGCGCACGCTTACCAGATCCAGCAATCACCAATTCCAAATTGCCGACATATCGATCGAGTGTGCGATAAATTGTGCAAGCAATCGTATCGAAAATATTCTTCTTCTGGCAGTCTGATCATGGCATTCTTCGAACGGCCGTGTGCCGCCGCCACCTCCACGGCTGCCGTCTGTATGCATGTGTCGAAACAAATTAGAGACGTCAATTTTCAAACATGCCATTGTCTTTTCGTGTCATTTTTCTTTCTCTTCGATGACGACTAAGAAACAGAAACAATGTCGACCGTTTGATCGTCGAGATAGAGACACACACAGAGAGAGAAAGTGCGAGGGGGAACGTGATCATGAGCGCAAACGCAAACGAACACATATACAAACTTAAGACAATGAAATCAAATTGAATCGAATCAAATCAATCCTTACACAATTGATTTGTATGCTACGGGGACCCATACCGTATTACTCTATTATCACATAATATTTAACGCTGTAATTGCATAAGAAACGATGATTGAATGTTAATTATGTGATAGCACGATTGCAATGTCTATGTTGCAACTGCAACATTGACCAACACTTAGCACCAGCGACCATCAGGCTGGTCATGTACATGTGACTATGCAGATCGTCAATGATGATGTCCTAACCGTAAATAATATGCAAGACGGTATCAATCATAATCATATCTTATTAGAGTTCATCACAACTTGGTGATCCCATTGGCTGTGTGATCAATCTCTCGCTTGGGCTGCAATCGGTTCAAACAAATATGCAATCAAGAAAAGTTAAATATGTGTATAAATGTTTTTCTTTCTTCTTATTTTTAATTCGATGTTTATAAAAAGTGCATGTTATCGGAATAAACATACCGTGGTCCTCTTTCCTTGGAAATGAAACATGAACCATTTTCTATTAAACGTGTGTTGTTGTGTGTTTGTGTGTGTTTTTTTTTAATTTTTTATTCATCACTCGGCGCTCTCTTTGGCGGTGGAGTGTTGTGTTAATGCTAAATAAATTGGCTTTTGTCTTCCATTTGATGACCATGCTTCGCTTTCGTTTGAGTGAAATTGATTTTAAAATGCCATAGCATGGAAATCACACACTGGCAGTAAAATGTGCAATGAAAAATAAAGACAAGACCGAACGGGAAAAAAATTGACGCGAAAAATAGCGCAATATTCACTCCCACATCCAGTTAGCGGCATTGCTCTCTGCGATTACTTTTGCATCGTGCCAGCACAGAGCACACATACATACGCCGTGCGCAATGTCAATTTTCATTTTTATGTACAAAACGCTTTTTGATAAAAATATAAAATCAACCAGATAACATATAAAACATAAAAATGCGGAAAATATTAATTTGAATTTCTTCTCAAAGCGATTGCAACATTTGCAGCGTGTTGCATTTATGCGAAGGGTGCGGCGAAATTTTCCGAATGCATTGCAATGCGATGATGTTGATGATGATGATGGTGAAAAAAAAAAAATTGGAATGAAGTCGAATTCGAAGGCAAACTTAAAAATGTAAAATATTGCGAGACTTTTTTTTTCTTTCTGCATTGGTGAAGTTGCAAAGAAGACCGCTTCCAAACGGATCGTGATCGAGCAACAAATATCGAACGAATCGTATGAACGACTGAAGCAAGGAAAAAAAAAGATCCGCAAGTAAATCAATTTATTTAGAAAGTGATTTGAACTTCAGATTAAAAACAAATACAAGAAATGATCGGACTAGATAAGTTCGCGCAGGCAAGCCCCGAAAGCTACCAGCCAAAACTTTGGGCAACAAATCGACAGACCATAATTTCACACATTTTTTTGTTTTGCATTATTTGTGAGTGTTAGTGTGTGCTTGTTGTTCACTTTTACCACATTGAATATGATGATGTTATTAGTGATAAATTAATAACTGTATAACTATATCTGCGCGTATGCGGCCGCACGCGCACACACCACAGAGTGAGAGACACACCGATAATATCGGTCCGATATGGAGAACCGGTGTTGAATAATTGTTCAATGGCATCAGCGATTGTGTAGACATCAGCTTTTATTTTTGGCAGAATTTCTCCGTTTTTTTTTCTCTCTGTCGCCTTTCGCAAAATACAATTCATATCACATCGAAAATGGTCAATGTTGATGAGTGCCTGTTTTTGTTTTTGCTCTCAAAACGGAAGTGGATGAAAGTGCGCACGCTTCGCGCATCACAGAGAGGGTGAGAATGACTAAGAAATCATTCATAAAATGAGCAATTTGATAAAGCATTTGGAGATTTCCTCATTGTCAATGAGATATATAGAGATAGAAGAAAGTTGCAAAATGGCAACAATAACTGGGCAAGCGGCCCGATTTAGCAATGCAATCGATTTCTTTTTATCGTTTTATGACTAAATCGGAAATCGATTGCATAAATGTCTCTCGAACTCCCACCTGAAAACGGACCGGATCAGATAAACACGAAAAACACCAAACGAAACATGTTTGATCTTATTGTCTAAGCAACAAGTTATAGAAGCAGCAAGAAAGAAAAAAATGAGCTTCAGATACACATATGTGTGTATACACATATAAAGCGTACAAATCGAAATGTACTCAAATTTTTGTTATCTTATGCTTCGGCTGAAACGCAGCAGCCTCACATATCCGCATGTATAATTATAATTGTGTATGAACTTTTTTCTTTCTTTATTTATTGATTCACGCATTAATGAAAGAGTCAGTGAATTTGTTTTTTTTTCTCTTTCTTCATCTCTTTCTCTGTAGTACACCGCGGCTGCTGGTGTGTAAGCATTGCTATGCTTTGTTTTGTACTCTTTTTTTTCTCTCTTATAATCACACCGCGGCCAGTTAAAAATGCACAATTTTTATGGTCAGAGTCACCACCCATTTCGGTTTATGGTCGCCTTTTTTTCCTTTGTTGCATATCATTTTGGCTGAAAACTGAACGCTTTCGTATGCAACAAGTGTATGACGGTAGATTTAAAAAAAAAAACTACAACAACTTACGACGAAGAGAAAAAAACCCATTGAAATACAGTTAAATAAAGAAATGAGAAGATGTTCGAAGGAAAAAGAAGAAAGGGGAGAGGTAATCAAAAGCGAATGAGAGCGGGCGAGAGAGTGAGCGCGCGCATTTTTGCCCGACCGACTGTGCGCGCATGTTGGAATTGGTCGCGTTGAAATGAGCATGTAATGGTGCGTTTAGTGGTAGCTCTAGTTGTCTTAAAGACAATTCAGCGCTTCAACCACATTCACCAACACAGGCCAAGCGCCATGCACATATAGCGAATGTGTACTACAGCTCTATCGCACAGATTTCAGCGATTTGCTATATATATGAGCGAAGTGTTACCGAAACATTTAATCAGATAGTTGATGTTTGTTCCTCGAAGAGGATCGTGCAGACTGGAAAGAAGAAGAAAATTAACAACAGTGTAAAAGCATCCGAAAAAGAACGAAAATCTGTACGAAAAGCGTGCGAAAAGTGTACCGACTGACAGAGTATTTGGTGGCACCAAAACCAAATATACAATCAGATCTAACATGATCAGGCGATGGAGTGTTGTGGTTAGTTTTCAGTAGTTTTATTTTTGTCGCAGTTTTATGGTTTGAATTTTGGTTTAATTTTTTTTTTCGCGTGACATTATGCGGAAAAAGAGTATTAATTGTGAACAAACGTTTTGCTGCAATTGTTTTAATTTTCCCTATGTCTGGATTTGCCAACACGCGTTTGGATTTAGTTGTATTTTAGTCATGTCATTTTAAGTGGGTACAATCAACACATCATAACAATAGAACACTTTTGAAATTGGTGCGTGTATAAATCACTTTAACGTAGTTGATGCGATTATGAAATTATCGGGTGACAAATTAAATAACAGTTAAAAACCATTTGGTTTTGTAAAAAAAACAAATAATAATGATGAAACGAAACAAAAGAAAAAGAAGAAAAAGAAAGAAAAAATGCGACAAGAGTGTTTTCTCTTTATTTTAATTTAATTTTTTTTTAAATTTTGTTTTACGGTTTTAAATACGTGACCATCCACACTTTTCATTTCATTCATTCTAACGTATGAAATAATAATGGCGAAAGCATGGGGAAGCGCATGTGCGCTTGTATCAAATTAAGTGACCGAAACATGGAATTAACGACGCCCGGACAGCTCATTCAGAAACAGAAAAAATATCATGTATTGTTATGTTATATTAACTAACGGTCGCTAAAAATTAAAGTTGGCCGTCTTACGCAAAATAGGAAGCCATTGGTCGCGTGCACTGAATACCAATGCCCGACTAATCCACAAACGAGTCGAACGACCAAATTCATTGATCCATCACTCGTTGAAGTCTATTGTCCAAGACTATGTGCGTGTGTGTCTCTGTGTATGCATGGCTCAATGCCCTGGTAACTATAAGGAGTGTTTTATTAATTTACTTTACTTATTTTTATCGTTTCCATTTCATTCATGTATAATAATTTCGCTTTTCACAGCTGCATTTCTTTTTTATTTTATTTTTTTAATTAATATGTAACGAGTCCTTTCACTTTCTTGTGTGTTCCCAAGCAAATAATCAACAGTTATTGAGACGCTATTGCTGGGACTTACGCACAATATGAAAAAAAAAAAAAACAAAATACGAAAAACCCATTTTATAGTTTCGTCACCATTTTTTTGTTGTTGTTTTTGTTGTTGTTATTATTATTTTTAATTTGTGTTCGTTACCGTTATAAGGTATCATATTAAAATATCATCGATCGCAATTTGTAAGCGACAATTGACATTCATTCAGTTTATTATGAATGGAAATCGTTGTCAATTCTTGCATATATGCAGAAAACGTGCAAGTCATTAAAATACTCGAGTATGCATAGCGATATTGTAAATACGTGATATTGATTCCTCTTTCAATTTCACACTCTTTCACATACAAGTGCAAAGCGTGCGTGCATGTGTGTGTGGCTCATCTCTACTTCAATTTATTGCATGGATTCCGTTCAGCACTCATTTAAATGATACGCAATTCACACATTCAATATAGATATATATGCTGAATGACGACGAGCCACACTAAGCTGCTGAAAATTGCACTAATGAATAAACACAATGCGAGTGACTTATGTGTATACTCTTGATTTCACCAACATAAAAAATCTGAACGGATCTCTCTCCCGCATTACAAGTGTAATGAACTTCTTCTTGGGCTCAGAAGCATCCAATGCTCAAAATATGTATCATGGTAATATATGTTGGATGTTAAATGTTCGAATAACGGACTCTACATGCGACTGATATACCACCCAATCCGCCATAATACTGGGTTAGTTGATTTTTCACGTTATTTGTGCATGCATGCTTCGGCAGCAGCGGCTGCTGCTTCTGTTGCCGTTACCATTGCTGTGGTTGTTGTTTCGTTTTTTTTGCTGTTTCTCATCCGGACCAGTGTGTCACTCGTTAGAAAAAACTGTAAAACAAAAGGTGAATAATAAACGTGGATAAACATTTATTGTTTAAATATAGAAATCGAAAGGAATAACACTTGAGTGCTTAAATACCTTGCACATGGTAGCGGCAGACACCTAAGCGAAAGAAGAAGAAAAAAAATAACAAGATAAACGAAAGAAAAATCAACACAGTTTACTGCTGCTTCAGCTTCTGAAAAATGCTCAATCAAAAGAAGAAAGGGAAAAAAAGCAACAACGAAGAAACAAGTAACGCGCAGCAGCAGCAAAAAAATATATAAACCAATGGCCAAATGTAAACCAATGGACGAACATCCATCTCAACATCCATTATTTATTGGTATATGGTTCTTTGGCTGATTAGGTCAATATCAATAAGAAAAAAAAGAACGATCGACAATACCATTGTGTGCAATGAGGTATGTAACACATGTTAATCTTTCATTCATCATGCCCGCTTAAAACGCTATGAGCTGATGATACTGCTGCTGTTGCTACTTTTTCGATTCATTTGTTGCAAGCCGCACAGCTAGCTGCGATCAAATATTCGTATATAAGAAATGTGAGCGTGCGTAGTGCGCACACGCTCACTCCCAAGCATGCATAATACACAGCATTGAAAACAAAACACTAAGACATAACACAATGCAATCAATTAATAGCCACTACAAATACCTCCTAGTCATCTTTTGATCGGCTTAAGCTATGCGATTTTATGATTTATAAAACGATGTGCGCATATTCGCGGGCGCGCGCACAAACAACGAAAGAAGATGACGATGATGACGGCATCACGGTGGCAGCAACGAAACAACAACACAAAGATGAATGGAAAACTAATAAACGTCAAATAAAAACGCTTTTTGTACCATGCTATAAAACGATTAGACATTTTAAATTGTATGCAGATAAAGCGTTGTTGTCTTTAATTGTTACACTTTGATGCCACGCAAGCCAAAGAACAAAGGAACAAATTCCCAAATATGGAATACATTTCAATGCTACGGACTGTTTTTTTCTTTCTTTCTTTTTTCTACTTAACCATCTCATTATTTATTCGCACATTTTCTTTGTAAGCATGTACCCGCGCACCCGCGCACAGCGGCAATTTTCTGTGAGACGAGTGTCTAATCGCAATGCATGTCGCATTTCAAAATACATATATTGTTAAAGCTCTTCAAGAAGAAAAAAAAATGAGTGAATAAGTAAACAAAAGTTTATGAAGAAAAAAACATTTAATACCTTAAACCAAGAGAGAAGATGAGCAGAAAAAAAACAACAACAACCGTGTAGATTTCAGCAACAACAAAAAATCTATAAATATAAATGAATGCAATTTTAAGCACATTTTTTTCGCTCGAAATATAAGCGAACCGCATTCGATCTAATTTGAGGAAAAAAAGAAAATGAAAAAAAAACACAAAAAAATGAGCAAAAGACTCATGAAAGTAAGCAATAAGCAGTGCTGCACCACACCACACGCCACACATAAAATTCAGGTACATGTAAAAATGTTAATAATTAAATTAATTATCTCTTTTAATTTACATTTACGAAGACCGAATCAATGTGCGTATGCCATGTATGTGTGTGTGCGTGAGTACGATGCTTATCGTTGGGTTAAACGTGTCTTTAAATTCGATTTTTCTCTCTCTGCTCTTTTTTTATATTTCACAAGCACTTAGCTCATGATTGGGACACACTGTGCAAGTGCACGGTCAAAATGGTTATTGACAAATGCGCGCGCGCGCACGCACATACACAAGCTCACAATCATACACACTCGCTAGCCTTCAATGCATATATTTGCTTCCTTTTTCTTTGGTCATGTCATTTTCTTCTGGCCTTTTATTTTTTTTTTTTTTTGCTCAGATGAAGTGTGTTCATTTCGAATGGAATGTGTATGCGTTGGCTGTGTGTGTGTGTGCGTTTACAATGTCGAGGACCAGAGAGGACAGTGAAAACTGGCCAAATCACATATATTACGAATAAAAATGGTGAGCGACTAGATCTCGTGCGCCCGTGCAAATACCATTCGCATATGCATATTATGTTTAATGAGGTAAATATACGGTCACAATAATCGAATGATTATAACTGGCGCACGATTTATCATTTAGCAAATGACTGCAATGACACTTTTACTTTAATCCGACCACTGTTCGGTTCGCCTGTTTAGCTTTGCTCGCTAGCGCTAGCTCGCGTGCACTCGTGCATGAACACACCACAGTGTTACATTTTAATAACAAATCCAAAAGCCACGATTGTTTATTAATTCGGCAAATAGAAAATGAGTGTGTCAAAAATGTGCACTCGAAAAATTGAAATATCGTTCCGTTTCTTCTTGAACTAGAAAACTGGTTGTTGTGAAGTGAAATGAACAACGAATATACATATGTTGGAAGAAAATAAAAATCAAATCAAATCAAATATGAATGAAGAAGCGGAAAATAGTCATGCTAATTTGATATGCCTATATACACACATAGCACAGACACCGGGCGCGCGAGCAACACATAAGCAGAGCATTGAAATTGCTCATTGTGAATTATATAATTTGGATTTTGTTGTATTATTTTATTTTCCGTTCAGATCCGCATCGCATGTACGTCTATATCTATCACTGAATATATTGAATTACAACGGTATCATTCCATCATCTAGGTGGCGTGAATGGCCAAACAAACAAACAAACTCACTCACTTACTTTCGTTTATTGTCATTTCACTGGAATTTCAACGAATGCGCCACGAACTACATAATCAATGCCAAAAGTTGTAGGAGTCAAACGGAATTGAGACGGTGTGCACAATGACGTGTCGTTGCAAAAATCGAACAATGCCATCGTCAATCGTGCCACATGTTATATCAATGAGATTTTGTTTTCCTTCTTTAAGCCAATGTTGTAGTTTTTACACTTCTTCATTATCTATTCATTTGTGTTTTGTCTAATAAGTCGTCGGATAATTGTTTAAATTTCGAAAGCATCGATCGATGGCAGCGGCGCTTTCGGCGAAAACTAAATTGGCTAACATACAAAAATAGCACTGAATACGAAATTACTTTATACGCCGGCATGCGTTTTCGCAAAACCACCAAATAAATATTTTGTTGCAAACTATTTTTGTTGCAGCTAACTTTCTTTGGTGCTAAATTTAGTTGTGTTATTGCATCAATTCAAGATGAATCATGATAAACCTTGTTAAATTCTGCAGTCATTTGTTTATTTCTTTCCTATTTATTTATTTCTTGATGCTCCTGATTTCACCACCAAAAAAAATCCAAAATTTCGCAAATAAAAACATGTTTGCCATTTCGAAAATCCATTTGGCAACTCTTTCGCCAATTTCTTTGATGATCAAGTCGAATATTTTTCGTTGTGTTTCTTATATTGAATTTACGGCGATTTAAATAAGGCCTTAATTAAATATAAATTAATTTGCTTCTCTCTCTCTCCCTCTCTCTCACTCCATTTTTCCAAAGTTTTAATTAATTTTCATCCAAATTTTATTCCGTCCTCCACTGCTCCATTCCTTGGCATCTCTTCGTGAGAATTTCACATTTATCCACATTCATTCGTATTTATGCTTCAATGAAACGGTAATATAATTTAACTTGGGTAACACAATGCAATTGCGGAAGAATAATCGACGATGTGCGGCGGTGTTTGGTGCATTTTCTGGAGAAAAAATGAGCGCGCTCGTATTTGCTGCCGCCACTGCTGCGCAATTCAATATTTAATAGATCTTCCGATCGACTTTCAAAAATTTTCAGTGAACAAACTCTCCATCCGCCTATGTATATGTGTTGTTTCTTGAAATGTTGTGTGTTACATTTTAAATAATATTCGGTGCGAAATCGCGATAGTTTTTTTTTCCTCTTCTTTCTTGTTATATATTGACAATATGAAATCAAATTGCAAATTAATCTAATTGGCTATAGTTGATGATGAGTTTTCCACGTAAAATTGAGAGATAAAAAGCGAGTCATCGACATATTTCAAACGAAAAGTCTTTCGACATCAATAAACAGTATTGTCATCATACGGTCGTGATCATGTGAAAACGAAACGATGCATTTCAAATGAATGTCGTTTTCACTCTGTTTGTGGAAAGTGAACGCGTTTGTTTGTTGTTTGAAAAGAGCATGTGTGTGCGTGTGTGTGTGAGTTTATTGCGAATTTGTCGCAATCGACCGGCAAAATACCGGCATCAATTAGACTAGTTTAAATTGAATTTATTTGGGCCGCCATTTCGAATTTCCCGTTTCGTTTTTCTCTTTGCATTTGCACACCAACTAATTGGGATATTTACTCTTTTTCGTCTTGTTATTATTTTCTTATCGGCGATACACTTCTTGTTTCGTCTGTGTTCGATATCGCGTTCGCAGTTGGCTCTCGTTATATTCACTTTGAATAATTACATGATTAGTGGGAATACAATACACGGCGTGCATTCATACAGCCTGAATTTAAATAGCGTCAGACATACGCCCAACAATGCTATACACTATGATCAGAGCAATGAAATTATTAAAACTTATAATCTTTTTTTGTTGTTGCTGTTGTTGCTGCTGCTGCTGCTGCCACCGCAGTCGTAGTCGTTGTTTCGCTCTCTTTTACCATCGTCTTTGGGAAATAAAATGTGGCATTTTTCGCTATTTTCTCCATTTTCATGGGAACTTGCGTTTTCCGAACACACACATTTTCTTCGAATATTCATTCACAAGGAGGAAATGAAACGACAATATTTTCTTTCATTCGTTTATCTTTATGGTATATATTATACGCGGTATTATATGACATTGCGCATGAATTATATAGTAGCCGTAGCCACGTGGATGGTTTCGGTTTTGTGATTTATAATAACGTCAGACCAGGTTAGACATACAGAACAAATGCAGCAGACGGGAGAGTCACATGAAATATGCTCGTTTTTATTTCTGGTTTGTTCAAAAACACAACATATATTCAACGATCGATCATCTTTCTTTGGTAGATATTTCTTGGAGTGCTGCTCCATAGGTCACAGGTATCAACGAAAGCAGTTAAGTTTGACGATCAAACGGCTGAAGCTTCACAAGCGTCTAACAAGCAAGTTGCACAGGAACGCTTAGACCTCTTAGGACATTTATTCCATCATGATGACCACCATGAACATCATCATGTACAAATCCAACATACGCATGATCCTGGTTTCTGGAAGAAAAAGGTCGTTTGGAAGGCTGGCTGGAAAAAAATTTGGTAGGCTCAAAAATACCGTTCATCACTTTGATTGAAAAAGAATTGGAATAAATCTCAAAATGACTTTTGAATAAACGTTTTTTTTTTATTCTTTCAATTTTAAAGGAAAACGGCAAAAAGTTATAAAAAAATTTGGATCCCCCATTGGGTGCACACCGAACACGCTGTTGTACGAGACATAAAGGTTCCGGCATGGAAACAGGTAAGTTTTGATTCATCATCAATCATACTTTTGACTTTATTTTGGTAAATGCTTTCCGTTTTGTTTGGCGAGCGGAAATGATCACGTCAAATGTGTTGTTCGAATTCCAAGATACACAGTGTGTTTCTGAAAAATGAAATGGAATGAAAGAAAATTGTAATTCGGCACGGTTAATAAATAGAAATGCTAAAATTTCATTTGGGAATGCGTAAAATTACTCACCTGTAAATAATTATGAGATAAATATTAATTTTGGTGTTTTTGTTGTTGTTGTTTTACGTCTGTTTGTTTCACTGTTTCGCGTTTGCTAGATTTGGAAACCAGTGTGGCGCGAAACTCAAGTACCTGCCTACAAAGATTATGAGGTAGCTGATTGGAAAAAATACTACAAACCAGTCTGGGTATGTCATTAATAAATTAAATAAGAAAATCATATGCACATGTGCTACTGTAGATTTTTATTTTTGGAGAGTAAGCACATCTTCGGCCATTCACTTGTTACTTGTTACTAGTAACGACTTGAATGTTGCTTTTGTATCATGTCTAATTTCGTATCATTTTGGTGTTGTACTTCAATAGATTCCAACCAAAGTGCCTGGCTGGAAAGACATTCAAGTACCAGATTGGAAGAAAACATGGAAGCCATATTGGCGTGAAATTCAGGTGAGACGATTTTATACCATATAATCTTTTTCATTCTGATTAACGTAATAGGCGTTTTGATGTAGGCTATTAAAACGGTTCAGAGTATCATTTAATAAATGGGTCGGTGGGTGAAAATTAACGTTTTTTTCTCTCTCTGTACTTTTGATTAGGTGCCGGCATGGAAGGACATTGAAGTACCAGCTTGGAAGCAAATTTGGGTTCCAGAATTAGTCAAAGTTGGCATTCCAGGCGAGAAATTCTTAGGCAAAGATCATGAAGGCTGGGAATATACTAGGTAGAGTGAAAATTTTAAATTGAAATCGCTTTTCCGAATACACATTTCTGAACTAACTCTTTGATTCATTTCTCTCAGTCATGACCTGTGGAAAAAGAAAGTCGTATGGAAGTCACATTGGAAAAAGATTTGGTGAGCTAACTTTTTTTTAACTAAAATTATGTAGCGATGGAAAAGTGAATTGCATCATCCATTGCATTCACTTAAACTTTGCCAAAAATCAACTTTTAATTGAATTTAATTTTTTTTATCAATTAATCTTTTCATTTTTTTTTTTTCAGGAAACCAGCCAAAAAACAAATTTGGGTACCAAGCAAGGTAGATAAATGATTTGCAAACGACTTTTTTTTTATCTGAATTTTATGCAGTTTAATAATTGAATTAAAATGTTTTTGTCACAGAAATTAGAATGGCGCGAAGAATGGAAGAAAATTTGGTGAGTTTTTTTTTTCTTATTTGGTTAATTTATGCGATAAAACAAAAGGCGACGATTAATGTTCATGCATGCGATGCTATCCAATTTGGTTGAATAATAAATTTTCGTTTATAATTTTGAAAATCGATTCATATCTTCACTTCCAACATCAATCAGATGTTTGTTTTGTCATTTGGTTTAAACAAAACGGATGTTTTATTGGGTAGTATAAAGTTAATTTTGATGACCATAAAAGTTTAACATTTAGAGAAAAAGCGCATACATTTTCGTTCAGATGAGCGAAAAGTAAAAGTGCGATATTGCATTTCAAAAGATATTAAATGAGATAAAAACGGTAATGATAAATAAAATTAAAGTGGATATACTGTAAATAACGTGAAAATCTCTACACAGGCGCAACGAGAAGAAGCAAATCTGGTTGGACGACAAGAAATTGGCATGGAAAGAAGCATGGCATCAGGTGTGGCGCACAGAGAAAAAACTCATCTGGGTCCCTAGCAAAGTGAGTATGAAACCATATACACATTGATGTGTATCGGCTCATTGATTATGAAAATTTATCCAAATAACAGAAATTGGAATGGGTTAGTGCATGGCAGCAAATCTGGAAAATTGCTCACAAAGTTGAACATGTCCCAGATAAAAAACTAGAATGGAAAGAAGGTGAGTCAATTTGATTGAGAATTAGATTTTTTTCACATATGTTGGTTCATTTTTTGCAAAGAATTTTTGTTAGTGCAAATTTAAAAAAAAATGTATATTGTTGTGCGTCAATAGTTCCGTTGCACTATGATTAATCAAATGGTATACAAACAATGGATCAGCACTACAATCTATTCACTCTATTATTGTTAATTCAGGATGGAAACCAATCGAAACCACACATCCTGCATGGCAGAAAATCTGGAAGCCAGTCGTAATCAGCGAGTGGTTCCCATCACCCGATCATCATGATCACCATGATCACCACGATCACCACCACGACCATCACGAGCATTGGGACCGCAAAGACACAGAAAACACCGACTCAAAGGTAGTGTGGAAACGTGAACAACCATCGGCTCAACCACAAGCTGTTTCCAAAGTTCAATCGCCGTTAGAAGCAAAGTTTATCACACCTATAGGGAGCACACAGCCAAAGGTTTCTGTGAAAGCAAATTAAAACGCCATCACTAATAAAAACAAATGAAAAAATAAATAGAACGGCAACGGCACCAAGATAGGTCCCAATTTTGCGCATGAAAGAAAAATGAACAACAAAAAAACATAAAAAGACATACTAGGCTAAAGAATTTTCATAAATAATATTTAAAATTATTAAGTTAAATATAGGATTGCCTAGGATTTATAAACAACAAAAAGAAAGACGTAAGGAGAAAAGAATACAAATACACTTCCATTGTGTATGCTGTAAATAGTTACCTAATCGTTCTGTTTTTTTTTTCTTTTTAATTGTGCATTACAAAATACATACAAATAGGCTGATTCATATTAACAAAACGAAACAAACAAACAAGAAAAAGAGTCAAATATTTTTATAATATTGTTGTTATTGATCATGACGATCGCAAACTGTTTTCTGTTATCGATTTTTAATTGTATAATGAATCAATTTCATTTCGTTATTCATTTTATTCCCATTTTCACCGCACACGAAAATGCCATTGATTCTACGAAAACGAAAAACAAATGCATGTCCGTTCAAATTCAGTTTGCCGAAATTTGTTGTAGCATTTAAGCCTGTTGACAAAAACAAAAATTTATATATTGTTACATTGTTATGACTTTTGTACGATTATAAAGCAAATTAATGACAAAAAAAAGCGAAAATACAGATGAAAATTACCTATTAATTCAATCTACTTCTCATTTTGTATGTGTGTGTTTGTGTGTTTGCTTTGAATTCGCCGTCGAAACAATATTATTCCATCGTTTATGATGCATTATAATATGATTTCATAATCATAACTTTTACTATTTTATGATTCATTCATAATACTATCATCCGGATCATTTCAAAGAAAACGGTTTGTTTATTGTGTGCATTGATACTGAACATTTTATGATTCAGATGCAATGATATCCATTTTTTTCATACAGGTCAGGTTTAAAAAAAAAAATTTCTTTGCCTCACAAATTTGAGATTTTTGTTTTAATTCATTCCGCTTTAAACGAAGAAAAAAAATATATAAAAAGTTCGTCTCTAGTTTGTGTTTTGAACCAACGTTGAATCACAAAGCTGCAAACACGATGAAAACTTTTTCCGAAAGCAAATCCATGAAACAAACTTGATGACTTGTATTTATTGCCGCCAGATTTCTCTGCACGCAAAACTGCACCACGACTCGAACACTTTTGTCGCACGGTAAACGAGAGAGAGAGCGCTGAAAATTCAGTGCTGAACACGCCAAACACAACACACATTCGCATGCCAAAAGATCATCATAAAAACGTTTGAAATTATAAGCGTAGCGATACGGTGAACACGATATCATACCTAACTCACGAAGACGAATGTAAAATTGTTATTTTAGCAGGTCTCTTTTAAACTCGCTTTCGTCCGCAAATCAATGTGCTTGCGTTTCGCTTTTTTTCTATTCATTTTCGTGTAGCGGCTCTCTCGGCATGAAAAAGAAGAAGAAAAAAAAGTAAAAGCAAAAACGAAGACAAAGTGGCCAAAGAATCGGACAAGAATTTCAAGCCGCAAAATTATACGAGTTTTCTACATTGGCGTTAAACTAAGCTCGAGCCACGCGTACGCGTTCAATTATTCGAATCGTTCGTTGCAAAATTGTATCGATGCCCTCTTAAGTATGCGTTTTACTTAGGTTATTAGCACGCACATTTAAACAATACACCATATTATAATGTGTGCAGTTAAAGCATGCATTTACCGAATGAAGAAAACAAGCCAAACGAATTGCATTTACGATCACACGATTTAGCGTGTATTTGGGTCGATCTCCTGCTGGATACCATTATTATCACTTCGATAATTGATTGTCGATTCTAGTTGTTGACATTAATTCAAATCCACAATAATTTTGCTTGTTTGAGACGCGCTGATTAATCAACACGAGCGAGAGAGAGATAGAAAATGGACGAGAGAGAGAGAGAGAGATCAAAAGCACTATTTTTGATGTCGTACACCTACACTGTGTACAATTAAGTATACACGAAGTTCGATGCATTTTGACTTGCAATGATATCGCTTTTTTATGTTCTGTCATTGCTTTCACTGATTTGCCTACCGAACATTGACCTCAACATCGGTGTAATGCTTATCTCGTTAGCGTCATTTTGGTCAAAGTTGATTTGATCATAAAATCAATACCATGTTCAGGACACGGTGATCAACAGTGGGCTTAACAACAAACATGTGGTGATGTTAACACGATACGTTAAAGAGGTATGCTTCTCCCGGTTTGCAGTATATTTCAATGTGTCAAATCAGGTTTCAAACGAGATTGATCATCGTTGAAGTTTTGACAGAGAAACGGAGTGACAAGAACTTCTTTTTTCTACCTTTACCATTTCGAATATATGTTCTTTCTCTCTGCCACGAATCTCGAAGACATAGTTTTCAAAGTGATAATTTCAAATCCGTGTCAATGTGTCACAACGAAACTTATTTGCTATTAGCGCGATGTAACCTTGAAGGTATTCACTGAAATACTATTCAGAAAACGTGATACGACACCAGATGTTTTAGAAGAAAAAAAAATTGTCCACATTAACAACATTTTGGGTAGAAAAAATCTGAATAGTCTTGGAACAATCGCCTTTCCATGATACACGTTCATTTTTAGCAAGTTCATTTGATTTTTTTCTTCTCATATTTCAGCGATATGAATTAGTTGTGGTTCGTTTCTGTGCAGTTCATAAGAGTCATTGCATTCAAAAGTATTTCGCGGCAAGCATCAAATCAGCTTTGTTCGTAGAAAATGGCAATTTCGTTTGATTGCACCTAAACTGAATAAAATATTTGCCATGATTTGTGAAATCAAGGCGTTTGCCAATGGATTGAACGAAACCTTGTCGGCCCTTCTTGTTTCTTGCACGCTGTACGCTGTGCGCTGAATGTGTGCGTATATTTATAGTATTTTTATGTTGCGAAAATTTCATTTCGTATCACATCGATTCGGACCTGTTTTCTTCTGTCCAGTATTAATTCAATCGCCACTCAGTGTTTAAACTCTGTGCTGTGCACTACAGCACAGAGATTGTTTTGCCTTCCATTGTACACGGCTGTTTTTCCCTTTTCAATGCGACTCTCGGTTATACATCTATATATTATATCTATGGTTTTATTTTTATTCTCTTTCTGCTTGGCGTCGTCTTCGATTATTTGGAGCGCTACAAAAACTATATTAAATGCAAATATTACACTACTCTATACACATATGTTTCGTACATTCGATTCGGTACAACACGACGCTTTGCTATCCATATCACTTACACTTTGAGAGCTGGTATGTGCACATATATTGAATGCTGAAGTCGTGTGTGTTCGACACAACAAGGCCATAGTAAAAAGATATTTACTTTATTTTTCATTTTGTCTTCGTTCGTTTCAGCGGCAAAAATATACAAATCTGTTGTTGTTGTTGTTGTTTTTTTTTCATTCGATCCCAAAGTATTTGACTTGTTTTAGCTGTTGCGTTCAATGCATATCAATTAGTAGGAATCGAATCGAACTGGTTGATCAGTCAGTCGGCTTGTTGACCAATTTCATTTTCGAATAGAGTTCGTATGTTATTTTTTTCTTCTTCTGTAATATGGGCCGAATGTGGCAGCGATTCGCGTAAACAAAGTAATAGATCAAATATCAAAAATCGCTAGAGGAATTCGTTGTGCGACCACTTGACTGAGGACGATTCATAACAGTGTATTTTATGCGTATTAACTTTTCAATCACTTTGGGAATTCGGCAAAGGCTTTTTTTCATCAACCAAAAGAGTGAAAGAGACAAAAAATATCTCACGCAGTATCACATTTGTTTCAAAAAAAAAACAAATTATGTGCAAATGTGTCTGCTATAAACTGCACGTACACATTGATAGAAAAAAAAATCGCTTTCATTCATCGTGGGCTTTGTTTACGAGGCACAAGCATACATTTAACATGGTTTTATATTGACGTTCCGTTGTTTGATTTTCTGAACGCATCGCTTAACCTTTTGCTAAGACAATTTATACGTATTACGTATACATTTACGTATGTGTATCGCGTGTGCTTTCCGCTCGTTCTAAGCTATGGACTCACCATTGGAACAATGTAGAAGAAATAAACAGAAAATCCAGTACAAAACAGACAAGCTGATTAAATATAGGTCAGGTTTAACCGTGCAACTGTTAGGCCGTACTGTGCAACAAGAGTAAACTCATTTTTAAGCGACAATTTTTGTTTTCCCTGATCGATATGTAAGAGACAGTAGATGTATTTGTGTAATTTGCATGAAGAGGACGATCGATTTAGGTGTTGTGAATACTAGTTGTACGCTTGCCAAAAATTGAATCACTCAAAAACCTGAGATATTTCATGTAAATATTTTCCAAATTGTAACTGAGTCGAAGCGCGTAAAAATCAAGCGACACCATGATAGAGTCAATGAATGCGTTACCACACAAAAATTTAAATCGTTCGAAAATTCGTCTCAGTTATTCGGGGGGGGGGGGGGGTACCGAAAATAAATTTACGAGTCGCTAAAATAGACAAAACGACAGGCGACAATTTCCATTGCATCTTTTTATCTGTCGAGTGCGTACGAATTTCATTTCAACCAATTCCCGCTCACACTCAATCCATTTTTAAAAACAAATCTGTTTTGCTATTAAAGATCCCTGTTGAGAACGAAAGCGAAAGATTGTGTGAGTGAGTGAGTGAGTGAGTGAGTACGACCGTGCGATATCTATTGTTGCTAGGTTTCGATTTTTTTATTCTGTTCTGTGAACGATGTTGCAATCGTTAATATTGTGAGCTATATGACTTGGTATTCGAACAATCGAACCAAAAACTGAACAATATGAATTGTTGTTGCCCGAAACTGCACATCTACCAAAACAGCTAAAATTGTGAGCTGGTGGAATGTAAACAACGCTCAATGATTTTATGTCAACTGGTTTGAATCGCAATTATTAAATGCCATAAACATAATTTTCGACCGATGATATGGCAAATCATGGAGATTCTCTATGCAAATCGTGTGTATTTTATCAGCATGACAGAGAATACAGGTACTATATGGGGGTACATATAGAAATGAAGGTAAAGAGAAAAGTATATTTCAGTTCAATAGCGATCATCAATCCACCTACATGTTCGCGGAAATGGGGATAAAATTGGATGGAAGCTAATCGAAGTTTCTATTTATGGCATTTGATTGTGGTAGACAATAAAGAGACCTTCAATGCCCCTCAATGCTATTAGTGTTTTTATTAGATGCCATTTTCAATTAGAATAAAAAATAATTTCAAATTTATGAGCATTGGATGCATTTTTTTAAATCTAATTATGCATCACAATATATTCAATTTGTTGAATCATGGAATCGATCGAATGACCTTCGATAACACCAACTACAATTTATTTTGAGATATGCCATTTGTTATTCTGTTTGTTATTTTATCGTGTACCCGGGAAGTACATCAGGTAGGAGAATATATTAGAAATTCTGTTTGGGCGCAAACAAAAATCAACAATAAATTTTGAATTGATTGATAATACAGAAAATCCGGATTTTTTATTTTCGACTAAATTTTGTTGGTTCGGTCAACGGCATGTCGAAAATCCATGAAATACTGGTTAATTCTTTGTCGTTGCCATTAAAGTTTTGGCTTTTGTTGTGTATGATATGATGCAGCTCATTGGATATTGAGCAGTTGGTTCATTTTCATCTTTTTTCTTTGAATGCGAAACTTCTTCGATATTTTCTGCGTGCAAAACAGAGAGACACTCAGCGGATAGCAATCGACACACAAATAAAATTCGCTATAAATGGCAATGTGGTAAATCACACACAAAAGCGTATATACAATACAAGCGGATTGCATTATTGAAAGCAACACAAAGCAAAGAAGCAAATGTTCGATACAGCGGATATATCATCATTCTTCTGTGTTTTCATGCCTCTTTGTGTGTCTAATGCCTCGTATACATCTTTCTCTCTCCGGCCATTCGCTGGCTGTCGTATCATTGTCGAAATTAAAGAGGAACAAAAAAGTAACAAAACAAATAAATTCTTTTCGACTATGGAATAGGAGCACATTTTGTGCTTCGAACCATTTTGAATTACTATTGCACGGTGTTAATGCTAGAGAAAAAAGAACCTATTATTTTCAATGCTGTGGCGTTTGTCGATGTTGTTATTGTTTTCTTCCATCCCATCGTACGAAACGGTAGAGCGAACAAGGAAAGAAAGTGATTTTTATTCGAAGGCGAACAAAGACGGAGCGAAAACGTATGTGTATTTATACTATACACATCTGATACTGTGTGTGTATATATGAGTCTACAACAACATTGGACCAGTTGTGTATCGCATCGCACACATGCACGTGCGAAACGTTTTCAGTCGTACGGAAAAAGAAAAAAAAACGAACCCGAAACGCTCGGATAGTGTATTTCGAGAGTGGCGATGGTATGTGTGCGTACGTACTCATACATACATACACGGGCATACGTATGTTTGAATGTGTATGGATCATTGTGTGTGGAAGCGAGCCAATGTTATGTGTGATATCGAAAGAAGAAAATTAAAAATGGCGACAAATGCTAAACTGTGTTCACTCAGTACACTAGCAGCGCACACAATTCGTGGAAAAAACATTGATTTTATTAAAGTGGAAAATTTGAAAAAATTCTTAAAATATCCGAACAGTGATTTCAAGTGAATAAATGGTGAAAAATGGCCGAATCAGTGTCGATAATTGAAGAAAGACCCAAATTTGATGGAACAAATACGAATGACGTCGTATACTGCACAACAATGGCGACTGAAGAAACAACAACACACAACGATTACTATAAAACATTGATTTGTAGTAGTGGCGCTGGCAGTGTATCATCGCTCAGTTTGAACGATACGATTAGAACAACATTAACCGTGTCAGTAGAAGCAGCAAAAGCAGCAGAAAGAGCAGAAACAGCAGTAGCAGTGGCAGCCGTTACACAGAACACATCCAATACCGATTCGACGGAAGAAGAAAAAATGATTCCAAACGTTTTGGTCAATGCAAATGTGGCGAATAATAAATTGAGCGCGATCAGTGTGCAAAACAATAACAATAACAACAATGGCAATAATAATCACAATCTTCTGATGAAGACGAAACGCAGACGACGAAAATCATCGAAACAAAAGACCAACTCAAAACCATACAAAAAATCCAATTGGAATTATCAAAAGCGCGCACGCAATGGATCATCACGTCTTGTGCCGTATAATACAAATCAATTCCTGATGGAGGAGCACATGCCCGAAATTGATGCCGATTGCAGTGGACGGTGCCGTGATTCGAGTTTTTCCTTCGACTCCGACAACGACAAAGAGGAGTATTTGTCGAAGGAATTTTGCAACGTGTATGAAAATGCGAAAAACGATCGTCTTTACGAGATGACCAAGTCACAGCTGATCCAGGAATATCTACAGTTGGAAGCCAGTTACGATAAGTTAAGTAATAGTTTAGGTCAGGTGACAGACCAATTGGGCAGCCGCAACGGAGGCAACGTACTAAAGCGACTAGCCGATCGTGTGTCCGAGCTATCAGCCGAAAATTTGGGTAAGTGAACTTTTTCAGTAATTTTTTTGTCAATTTTTTCGACTGTAATTGATAATTTGCATCTCACTTTGAAAAGTATTGATCGAGAAAAAAAAATCAATCCATAGAATAAATGGTTTTCGAATGGCTGAATAATGTATGTCGAACGAATATTGCATGTTACACACCAGACTCGATATCAATTGTTTGGTTTGCCATTCAAACGTTATTTAGGGTCCCTAGTTCAATTTTCACACATATATTTCTCTTTATTTTCGCTTTTTTTCCTTTGTTTTTTTTTCGCTATTCTATTGTACATTCAGCGGGCAAACACTAAGTGACGTGTGTTTAAATTAAGCGAAACATAAGCGCTCCCGCTACGTATAAAATACGTTCAATTATCTCTCGCGGATGATTGTTTGTCCAATTGAGGTATTTGTAGTTTGTGTCAGTGTAATTGTCTATTTTTTAAAGAGTTTATTCCGGGCGATGACATTTAACGCACTGAAAACACACTATACAAAGAAATTATAAGGTTTTATCGTGACATTGTTTGGGGATCTCTCTCTCTTTGTCTCTGTCTCTGATTTGCTTGAAGTGGTTGGTATTCTATTGAGGCCCATTAGTGACTTTTTTTTTGTTTGATTACCGATATTCGTCAATTGACCTTCAATTAGCTGTAGAGATTTTTTTTATGCATTCGATTTTAATGGGGAGCACCGAAAGAAGAAAAAAAATCATACGAATTACAGGTTAAAGTAAATTTTAACGACCTACGTGACGAAGATCACACTCACACAGAGAGCATGCACAAAGAGAGGCACACAACCATTTTATCGATATGCGAAGAGCACTTTTATTTTCGTTTTCTGTTCTGTCGCGTAGTTGCATTCGAAGCGGCGCTTTGTGGCAATAGCCAAATGCGACAACGACAACTAAGAGGGTGATGCAGAATATAAACAGAATAAATATTTTCAAAACATTTTGGTAAAGTCGTTTGCTGGTTTTGTGGTGTATGCGTGCATATATGCCATATCTATATGTTTTGTAATGACACATTGCCATGTATGCGCTTCCATTTAGACGTGCACAAACACGAAGCCTGCTGCATGCTATTTGTCGAATTTTGTTGTTGCTGCTGTTGCTGTTGATTTTTCTTCTTTATTTTTTGTGTTCTGAATTCGTGTATGTGTATATACATATGTCGATGTATGATTACATCCATGTGGTACACACAATTTTTGGGCTTGAAACAAGGCACTCTCGCGAACGCTTCACTGCATTAGAATTAACATTAATTTAATAATTTTTGGAGTTGAGCACTTTTACAATGTAATAAATGCTTTTTTTCATTTTCGAGATTCGGCTAATTGCCAGAACTCGGATTATTTTGATTTAGCAAAGAGAAAATCCAGATAAAACCATATACACACACAAACACATCATTTTGCTCTTTGTAAATTTTTTCCATTTGCATTGAAACGACAGTGAAATGAAGTCATTTGGCAAATTATTCAAATGATTTTTTTTTCTTCCATTTTCTCCACAGAACTGCGGCGACAGATGTCCGATATTCGAAGTAGAGACACACGTCATCACAATCATCATGGATCACATCACAAATCATCAAATACATACAACAATCGATCCGTTACGTCGAACACAACAAATCATAATAATGTAACAAGCAGTGAAGACAGCGAAAGTGATAGCTCGAGCTCAAGTAGCAGTAGCAGCAGTAGTTCCAATTCCGACAGTTCAAGTAATTCGAATTCGTCAAACCGAAGTAAAAGTTCACAAATGAGCGGGATCAGCGACAATCATGCTGATGAATGCTCACAACTGTTGATCAAAAATGAATGCGGCTCGGTGGCTGACGATGACCCAGTGAACAATACAACACTCAACCAAATCATTAGCTCATAAGTTTTTGCATGCGAAACGGAAAAAGAAATAAAATACAAACACACACATACATATAAATGAAGAACAATGTCATAATGTTGGTGCGTGTGTGCCTCACCACGCCATGGAGTGAACGGTGGTTTCAATTTTTGATTTTGACCATTTTTGAGAGCATTCATTCAAATTGAAATCAACCATAAACTCCGATCAACGCACACAGGAAAAACTAAACTGTATTTTTCTGTCATCATCAAAATTTAACGTTAGTTTCATTGAAACAACAACAACAACAACCTTTTTTCGTATTAATACACTCATTTTTTTGTCATTTTCTCGATTTTCTTTTTCATTTAATAAATAGTTTACTATGTACCTAATTTTTATTCCAACAGAAGAGAAACTGAAGCAATTTCATTCAAATGTCATAGATTAGTAGCCAGACTCATCTTTTGTTCTCATGTATTCCAATGAATATTCAATTTATTTGTTTTTTAAGTGAATCACTTGAAGCGTTTTCCAATGAGTTTCTTTATCGAAAGATTTTTTTTCTCCCGTTTTTGACGAGAAAAGAAAGAGAGAAAAAATGATATCTGAAAAGAGGGAGCAAAAAAAATAATAATTAAAGAATCAACTTACTCTGTTATGAAACAAAATAAAAATGGAACAAAAGAATGATAATTTTTAGATTTTATAGAAAATCATGCTCTTTTATTTTAGATGAATTTGTTTTTATCCTAAAACATTTACATTTTCAATCTAATTATCGTTTTCTATCTCTAGACAGACATTGGATTTGTTTAGGATTTTCTTTTTTTCGAAATGGGTGCGGATGGATTTTCACCTTTGTAAAATTCCTTAAGCAATTCCATTGCTTCATCGGCACGTACATCACCGTGTAATGTGACATTTGACTGGAGCAACTCGAATACATTGAGTACAGTTGTGCCACCGAATCGATCATTTACACATCCGAAAATGATCTCTTTCACTTTTAGTTGATTTAAGGCCGCCGCACACATGATACATGGCTCAACGGTGACTATGACCGAAATTTCCTGAAACACATCGGAGTATGCTAATTGATTTTGCTTACAATAATCAAATACTTGATCGATGCAAATGAATTCGGCATGACGTGTGGCATTCTTTGTTTTGTTCACTAAATTTGCACCGTATGCAATAATTTCATTACGATACACAAACACACATCCGACGGGCACTTCTTTTTGCTCGTTTGCCATACGACCATTTTCTAATGCATCGTTCATAAATTTATCCATTGTTCTATTTTTCTTTCTCAAAGCTTATTGCAGACTAATTTTAATAATTTTTACGTTAAGTTTGCGAATAATTTTTTCCTCAAATGGAAAAATGAAATTTTCTTTTTTTCGTTACTACTTAAATACTAATTGAAAAAATACTGTTTTCTGAAACAGTTTTGGGACATCACATTTGTTTCACGTTGAAATTTTTGTAGTTTGAGGTTTATGCGTCATTCATGTATTTCATGACATCATTGTCGATGAGCCAATTTTTTGCTTTCTCGTTCCAGTTGGTGTTATTCAAAGCGCGTGGACTTGGATGCGGAATGCACTTGTGCTCGATGTGATTGCCAATTTTGTTCGTCTTGTACAGATCTTTGACGCGATCTTCTGCGTAACGACCAACCGAGATAATCAATTTGGGTGCGATTAAATCGATGGCTTCGTTTAAGTATTTCGAGCAAATGTCTTGCAGCTGCTTCTTCTTATCCGACTGAAAGCAGAAAAAGAAAATAATTCGTATGTAATTTTCGTTTCTATCGATTTTTTTTACCGACATTTTCATATATATTGTCTACCTTTAGTTCAGCGGGTGTGATATTTCGTCCGGATGCCTGGAAGAATGCCAATGGGCAGAGATTGTGGACGTAGCAATTATTGAAGAAATTTTCCGCCTCACCGCACAGTTCTTCCATCAAACCCCAAAAACGTTGACCACTTTGTTCAGATTTGTCGCACAACAGCCCAGTGACCGGACGTACAGCAATCTCTTGTGTAGGCTTTTCAACTGAACCGCTCAATTTCATCCAATCTCGTACTGCCGGAATATAACCAAATGGCACCTGCACACCAAAAACAAACAAACAAGAAAACCAGTAATTTCATGAAATCGCCTTTTATGACAAATGTTCTAGCCAAAATGTGATATGCTGAATGAATTCAAGTATGAGTGTGTGCAACACATTTGGTACAACTCCTGTGCATCACTCGTGTGCATTCCGCACACAAATCAACATGCATAATGTATTATGTTTATCGATTAGTATTTGTTTACCCCAGTTTGTACCATTCCAAATGGGCCGGGATTCATGCCAATGAATAGAACCGGTTTTGATTTGTTCAAAAACTTTTTCAAATATGCACAATGCAAATCGGCCGCATATTCGATTGGATTGTAAACAGCCGATATGGTTGATGACAAAAATGAGATGGTTTTCAATTCGGCACTCAAACGACATTCAATGTCGTAGATTTTCTGCCAGAGTTGCATCGAATCGAAAAACGGCGAGGTTATGTCGGATGGTTTAGGATGCGATTGCTTAGCCAATTTAGTGTCTGGATCTGATTTTGGTTCGGATTCATTTTGATTGTTAGCCGCTGCAAGCTTAATTTTCTTTCGCAACATTTTGTGTAGCTCAACTTACTGTAACCTGTTTCCTTGTTTCCCTCGCTTTTTGTGCAACACGAAAAAAAAGAATTCAAGAAGTTGCCGCCGTCGTTTCGTTTTGAATGGCTACTATCTTACGAATATTGTATGCATGAACAATAACAATAGCTCTTACAAAATGACATTGACATTACGGATTTTAGTACGAAACTATCCGTGGTGATCGTGCTTAGTACCATTTTCTGGGCTGAAGCTTTTGACCGCAGCACCATCTATCGACCGTCATCGGAGTCTAATACATTCGAATGGTTCAAGTTTGTGCCGTCGAATCATAACTTGATTTATATTTAGCCATACCTTCTTTTTTTTCAAATTATCGCCAAACTGAAGCTCTCCTCATATCATCGAGTTTCGTTCATTGCCTGTTATCATTACCTTTCGTTTCTTTTTTGAGGACAAACTGTTGACAATTTAAATTTATTATTAGAACAAACACGATTATTAGCTGAAAATTGGATGCGAAACAATATGATATATTCACTACTATCATCGACGCAGCCATAATGGAAATTTGAAAAATTTCCACTGAATCTCGTGTGTAACTTGAATCGCTTAGAAACGCATTTCAAATGTAGTCATAAAACATACTCTTACTAATGACCGCAATGATTTTTTTGATTGGCAAATTCATCATAACCAGAGATATTATCCAGTCTCATCTCAATGCTGCTATGTGTAGCTCTATTAAAGAATTATGAGCGGTTCTTTCCCAAACAAACACTACCTGTACCGTATAATCACTTGACCCATTTTCATAAAGTAAATAAACTAGTCGGCTTATTTATTTTGTAAGATTTTATTTGTCGATTTTCGATTTATTACAATAGATTTTATGTCTAGCTACGCTCGAACCTACTATGTTTTACAAAAATGTCTGTTGATGTTATTTTAAATAATATGTTCGGCAGTTTGTTGTTGTTTTTTTCTTCTTCCTTTTGAAAGCATTTTATCGTGTGTGCACATGGTCGAATGGTAATATGTGCTTAATTAAAATAATTAACTCACTGTTCCATTCGATTCACGTGAAAAAAAAGAAGTCCATAACGTATCATTTCTCGGTCAGTTCAATGTGTGAGAATTCGTTCGTTTTCTTTTTAGTTTGTTTAATTCAATGAGAGTATTCGATTTAAATTCTAAATGTTCGACTTAAAGCGATGCGATCCATTGACATTTCCCCGCAAAATATTTGTTTAGAAAATAAATTTTTCATTTATGGCTGCAAACCTGTTTTGCAATCAATTTGAATAATATTCTTATTCAATGATTTATCGAATACACATGTCTAAGCCTACAATTCTTGAGGGTTGGGGCGTAGTGGTGGTCATGAATTTTGAATAAGTTAAACCCAACAAAATCATTTCAGCGCAAACATCTCTGTTTGCATGTTTCCTTCCCTAATTACCTAATTCTAAATAAATACAATACTTTCAACGCTATATCAGTTCGTTTTTGCTTATGACCATTAATAATTAAATTACAATTAACTAAGAAATATGTTTTTGCTGTTGTTCTGTTTTCTTTTTCTCATTCGACGAAGAAAAAAAAATTCCCCGTTCCAAAATTTATATTCTCAATTTTCGTGCTTTGCCAAGGTTAATCCATTCGGTTGGAATGCTATTGGTGCGAAGAAGTTTGGTTTTCTGACATTTTGGAAGCTTTTCGGGACGTTCACAACGTTTGCTCACTTTCCAATAGACATATCCTTCAGGGCACTTGTATACCGTACCTTCGAGTTCATTTCGGCCAGTTTTACGTGCGCATTTGATGAAAGCCGGTCCACACTCATCATTCATGAATGGATGCAATCCAGCTGATGGGCACAATGGTTCGTCCGAAACCATAATCTACAATTGAAGCATTTAACAAGCAAATAACATGTTAGCATATTTTTTTTTTCGTTATTGAGATGGTGCATTGGATAAAGCAAAGTATTAGTAGCATGCATAGTTACATTTGCGGAATTTACCATGGTTCGCGGATCAATTAAATATTTCAACGATCTTGCACTGTTGCTGGGACAGCTGTCCGATTTAACGCATTTACATTCTTTTTCGTTGTACGATGTGTTTGGTGGGCAAGTAAATTTGGTGATGGTCATGTCATCGCTGCTATCAGCTTGTGTACATTGATAGAACATGTTACAGTCTTTTGGATCTTGTCTGAATGCACTTGGACACACATATACGCCTTGGTCTGGTCCCGTTTCGGGACATGATGAGTTTCCTTGTTTTGGTGGGCTGTTGGTTGTTGTTGGTGGTGTTTCCGTTGTACCCTCAGTTGTTGAAGCTGTAAAATTAAGCGAAGCGCATTTAATTATATTTGATATATCAACATATTAGAAAAAGGGGATCAATTTTCAGTTCATTATCCGAAATATGCAGAAAGGGACATTGGGCATGGTTGAACAATTGAGAAATCGTTAAATATTGAGCTTCAATTTAATTAAAATTATTATTGAACCTGTAGTTGATTCCTCTGTAGTTGTGGTTGTCGATTCAGTCGTAGAAGCTACAAATATAGGTAATTCTTTTTATTACTCCGACTATGGGTGAACTACATCGACTAGCTACATCAATAAACTACATCAATTTCTAGCAAATTTTAATTTCGCCTAATTGCGCAACAGCTACGAAATTTATTGAAGACACTTTGTTTACCTGTCGTGGATTCGGTAGTCGTTGTTGTCGACTCAGTTGTAGCAGCTGAACGACAGGTGAAAACAAATTGAAGAAACAATTGAGCATTGACATTGAATAAGTATTGGACCAGGCGAATCATTAAGTGAATTAAAATCAATTTTGAAGAATTAGATGAAGACTATGAAAAAAAAACTGCTCTCTCAAAACTACGTGATTTACACGTTCAAAAAAAAGCATCATTATGTCATCCGATATGACTTGTTGATGAAAGTTGATGACTTTTCAATGGATGTACTTTAATTTTTGAGAACAAAAAGTGATTAGAAAGGTTTTTGTTTACCTGTTGTTGATTCCTCTGTTGTAGAGGCTATAATAAGAAAAACAATACAGTCAATATGGGAATTAATCAGTAATCTGAGAAGAATATGTACCGGTCGTCGACTCGGTTGTACTTTGAGTGGTTGACTCGGTTGTACTTTGAGTTGTCGACTCGGTGGTAGATTGAGTTGTTGACTCGGTTGTACTTTGAGTTGTTGACTCGGTTGTACTCTGAGTGGTTGACTCGGTTGTACTTTGAGTAGTTGACTCGGTTGTACTCTGAGTGGTTGACTCAGTGGTAGTGGTTGACTCAGTTGTGGTTGCTATTTCAAAAAAGATTCAAACGCATATTTCGCTTAAATCAAACGAATCATGGAAAATGCAATACAAAAGCGATTCAATCTAAATGCCACAAAGTGACATTTCAATGCATTGAACGGGAAAATAGAACGAGCATCTGTGCTTTGCAATTCATTTGCGCTGCAAAATATTAAATAGAAAAAGTGGTGACCACAAGCATGTGCAAGTACAGTGCACGCAGTACAATAATATGGTGGTCACATTGAATAAAAGCAGCGTTTATATTCATTGAAAATTCGTTTGATCGCTATGATAATTGATTTTCGATGATTTATGTTTTTTGTTTTTCTTTTTGAAATTGTTGGGTTAGTTACAAATAGCTACTCATTTCTTACGCGTTGTTGATTCTGTTGTACTGGCTTCGGTTGTTGTATTGCATGGAGATGGTGCTTGAGTTGTACCATTTGATGATGCACAATTAACATTGGCTTCATGGTCGCAAGTGGTCAATTCACTATTCCAGGCGGTTCCTTCAGCACAGTTGAAATCGTATCGTGTTAGGCCACCATTTCCATTGTCAACGCATCGATGGAATTTATGACAGTCTTTTTCGTCTCCAATGAAACCTTCTTGTCGACACACTCCATCGTTTGGTGCTGGTTTTGATGTGGTTGTTGATGTTGCTTGTGTTGTGCTTCCTTGTGTTGAGCTTCCTGTTGTTTGAGGAGCACCTATTAAAAGATAATAAATAATATTTTATTATAAAAGCTCATCACATTGTCTTTGTGTAGGTCAACAGAAAGCGTATTGATCGTACTGGTCGTTTTTTGTGTGGTAGAGCCAGATGATGTAGTCGTTTCCGATTTACCAGCACATCCAGAAACGCTGTCAGCATAATCACAAGTTTCCAACTCTTGACTCCAAGCAGTTCCTTCTGGACAATCGAAGTCGTATTTGGTATAGCCACCCTTTCCATTGTCAACACAACGGTAGAATTTCTTGCAGTTGCTGCTGTCAGCCATGAAACCTTCTTTCTCGCATTTATCATTGCTTGGTGAGCTAGTGGGCTTTGCAGTTGTCGTGCCAGATGGAGTCGTCGTGCCACATGGAGTCGTCGTGCCAGATGGGGTCGTCGTGCCACATGGAGTCGTCGTGCTAGATGGGGTTGTCGATTGTGTTGTTTGTGGTGAGCCAGACGATTGGGTTGACTGTGGTGTTCCGGTTGTGGCATCTGTCGTTTGAGACGATCCTATGCAGAATTCGGTCATAATTTATTTATCATTTCAATCCTTTCAATCAATCCATATTTTTTAAAAAATGTTGAATAAAATATTCGTTTCAAATCCTACCTGTTGTTGAGCCTCCTGGTTGAGGTGTGGTTTGAGTGGTTTTACAATTGCCTGCATTGCTGCTTGATGGATAATTGCAACCTAAGATTTCTTGATCCCAAACAGTACCAGGACCGCAAGTAAATTCATATTTGGTATAACCACCCTTTCCATTGTCAACACATCGATAGAATTTGCTGCAGTCTTCACTGTTTGGAATAAATCCTTCTTGGGTGCATTTATCTTGACCTGAACCGCCTCCACTTTGGTTACTAGATTGTGATGATTGAGAGCCTTGGTTTTGGTTTGAAGTCTCTTGATTTTGTGAACCTTGATTTTGATTTTGATTTTGTGATGAGCCTTGATTTTGGTTCGACTGATTTGATTGGTTTGATTCTTGGTTCTGTGATGATGATGAGGAGCTACCACTACTACTACCTGAATTTGATTGGTTTGATTGGTTTTGACTACCATTTTGATTGTTTTGGTTCTGGGATGAAGATGAGGAACTACCACTACTACTACCAGAGTTTGATCCGCTTTGCTGGTTTTGACTACCATTTTGATTGTTTTGGTTCTGGGATGAAGATGAGGAGCTGCCTGATCCGGAACTAGAGCCTGAATGGTTTTCCTGTGATTGACTTCCTCCGTTTTGATTGTTTTGATTTTGTGACGAAGAGGATGAACTTCCACTTCCGCTACCTGAGTTCGATCCGGATTGCTGTGACTGACTTCCTCCATT